GCTTGTCGTCAGAGGCGAATAACGGAATTTGGCGGCCAGGCTCACTAACTTGGATAACGTTAATAAGTGGATTGTCTGATTCAGACTCGATTATTTACAGACCGCCATCATATAGCTGGAATATTGGTGAGTGTGGTGTTAAACAACAAACCAAACACAATTCTTTGCGAACACAGAATGCATTCATATACATTTATCTACCTTGCTTGTAACATATCGAGATTCCATTCTTCCTTGTTCTCATACGTAGTTCATTCCGATCACTTCAGACACATTGTATAACAAACCCTTAAGTGTACATCAACATAATCATATGGGCACTACCACACTCTACAGAATCAGTTGTGCCCTAATGCTGGACGTACTTGCCGACCATATGGGTAGCATAGCCGAGTTTCTTCAACTCTTGTGGCAGGAAGGTGTAGTTGAGGGGCACACATGCGGCCTGAACGTTGGCTAGAACTTTGTGCTACAATGTGAAATTAATATGTAGCCCTAGGACCTTATGACATCATACAAGACAAATTTACACACTACATTAATGACACTCTTGGATCAGGGGGCGCTGTCAGGCGACAGAATCACATTTGTTAACGGTTTTTAACAAAACCTTTATTTGTTTCTTCAATGTTAGAGATTTAAATATGTTTGCCTAACTTACATTTGTTTGGACAGGGAAGAATAACCTTTATTTACCTGCATACCCACTCTGAATGGAAACATTCCACTCATGAAGGCCGTGCGAGACCTTTAAATACAAAAAAAAAAACAGCCGTCAGTAGTGAACTTATTCGTATCAATCTCATCTCGAAAATCCTTCTAATATAACAGTTATAATTTCCAAGATTTTACAAATACATCATGACAAGAGATATCTTATATTCATACATCAACATTCGATGTTTTGATGATAAATAGGTGGAACATGTTGGGATACGAGTGTTATATGTACAAGCTTGGGTAAAAAAGCAAATGATATTTACGGGCTGCAAAAAGGCTGGACATAGGCGCTCTCGAAGATGATCCCCTCTGTAGCCAGTTTGTCAATGTTAGGAGTCTTCATGTTTCGGTTTCGGAAACCAACATCGTGCCATCCTTGTTGTAAGTTAACGTGACGGGATAATATTTGGATACATATGCGTCAATGAAGTGTAAATAAGAATCGTTTGGACGGTATAACTTCTCTATATTCTTGGATGTTAGCCTTCGTATTAACTTGTTTTCGCATATATGTATAATTTGTTTATGGAATTGTTAACGTTATATATTTTAGTTTTTATATACCAATACGTATGTGGAGAATCAGTCCTCCTGGTCAGAATTGCCTTAATATTGACGGAGACATGCGTATATTTTCCAAACATGTGTGATAACATTTCATATTTGGGTGTGTTGGGAGCTTGAGACGAACATTCAATACTGTCAGGAATAACGATTCTCATCATCCCATATGTTCTATCGGCTGATGCATTTAATCTTTTGCACAGATATATTATTTGACCTTGTGTGATGAACTGATCATCTGACGTACTCATCAGAACGAACAGAAAAACGTTGGTCCTTTATCTGTGAAGAAAACATGCTCACCTAAATCATCTGCAACTATGAAGACAATGTTCGGGCGTTGTGTCGCCGCGCAAGACACAAGAACCGAGAGGAACACAAGAATGAACTTCTCCATTGCCACGTTCAGACAAAAGTGATTACATCACAGATCCTAGTCACATTTATCAGGTGACCTTCGCCTGCTTATCAGATAGATAGACATGATCGTTTGCCATGTGTGCACATTAACGTGATAGGTAGAAGCTCACGTGATATATTACGTCAACAATGCATTGTTTTAATTTCAATTGGCTGGATAGGTACGGGTAATATTCCATTCTGGGTCCACTTGCACCAAGCGACGATAGTTCTAAGCCTTTAAGCTGTTACGGGTAAATTTCCAAATTAAAACGCAGATGTTTTAATATCACACCACCTGTTTTTCCAAATGCATTGACTTAAGGACATTAACCTGATGGATAGGAGCTGAAGTGTGTCAGCACACTTACTCCAAATTCATTTGAATTTTAACTAATTTCACAACTGGCTCATAAGGGTACACTAGCTATCACATGTTGCACCAAGTTCCTACTGTATAAAGACAGTCGAATCCAAGGATTTTTTTCTTTTCATTCTATTGGTCGACTTCATTTAAAGCTATTAGAGGGATGGTATTTTTTTCTCCAATAGCCTATCTTTGATGCCAAGGTTTGAGTGATTTTCAGAATTGAAATGTTAGTAGACACAATTGGAAATATTTCTGTTCATGACCGATCAATGCTGGCCGATAATATCTGTTGTTTCTCTAACATAAAGCAATCCACAAAGGGTACATTCAATGCCATATGTGACGTTTTAGGTCTTCAAAAGGTTTTGTGCAGTATGTTTTAGCTGTAAAGATAGATTTGAATTCAGGATCAGTTATCAAAACTATACTTGAACCCAGTCATAGACATGCATTCTAGGTTACATGATTCTGGATTTGGGTAAGACATCATTGTGGTCAATGCGAACTTACTTATAAACTGGTAAAAGTCACTCACTCTGATTGGTTAATTAGACTATGGCCTATCCCTTTACATCATTTTACAACCTATTTTAACAGGCCATTTTCCACTTTTTCTAATGCAGTTTGCTTATGTACAAATTCCAATTTTGCCTAAAAGAGAAAGTATTTTACTTTGTTGTAAGTATACACGATCCTATGTTTTTACTTATCAGGCTGCGTCAATAGCCTAATTTCGAATGAGTTTTCAGAAATTTTGAGGTTATATTTGAACGCCAGTTACCCTACTATTGGCTATCATTTAGCCATTTTTAGTTTTGAGTCACAGGCACGGTACTTTGTGAATGGGATTAAATGTAGACACTTTCGTTAATCGTTTCGTTTCTCTTTGGACTGGCTAGGTTTGGGTGTTTCAGGTGACTGATGTAACAAAGATACTTTTTTCTTGAAATTTACAAGTAACAAAACTGTTTTAATTATTTTTTAATAATATTTCTTCTTACCACCATCCAAGGTAAAGTAGCATGTGTTCTACTGTTGGATGGCAGTACTCATGCCATGAGCCAATACAGAATACTATGTTCAGTTTGTTAAAATGGCAACACTAAGTTCTCATGTGTGATGCATGTCCGTTGGACTGTGTCACGAAAACTGTTGCGCTTTTAACCTTGTTCCATAGGGTCATTTTAAGGATATACAGAACCAAGGATATGTGGCCATGGTGTATAGACTTATAAATTGGATTTCTCCTATCAAGGCTGTGGTAGCTGTCAAACAGCTATTAGCTGGGTATGCACTGACCAGAACATTTTATATCAAATAGATGCTGACATCTGCACTTCATCTTCATCAGCTTTACAAACTGAACCGCTGCTAGAAGCTGTACTTTTACCAGAACCTGCCATTCAACTAGACTCTGTACAAGACCCCAAAACTAATACACATCTCACGAACGAAGAAAATAAACAACGACGAAAAGAAGCAAGGGCCCTTAAACGTGTTGAGGAGCCTTTGTCATTGAATGTTCTTTGGACGTTTATAACACACTTGAACCTCTAGATATGGAGGTCACTCCATCGCTACCATTACAGCGTAGAGGACCTTCCCCCACTCACGATCTCTTATCGGGCCTCCATGAGTTGCTCTCCCAATTTATTACAATGGAATTGTAGAGTATTTCGGAACAACCTTAGTGACCTTCAGTTCTTAATTCAAGATTTCAAGCCATCAGCATTTTGTCTTCAAGAAACCTTCTTCAAAACCATAATTTTGATTTAAGACAGTACGATTATTACCATTGCTTTTCCCCTCCAGGGGATAAAGCAACAGGAGGATCTTCTGTTTTGGTGAGGCAGGGCATCCTTCACAGTCCTGTACCTGAGGCTCTAGAAGGGTTTACGTCTTCACGACCCCAATCAACAACATTGAGTTGGCTGTTTTTCATGGGACCATCATGTGTTACAGATTGACGAGTCCCTGTGTGTTTCAGTTTAGATTAGAGACCCGCTATCATGTGCAAGACTTCAAGAAATGTTGATAAACCTTATGCAAATTCCTCAAGGGCCCGCGGACCAACCTATTTTCTAACACGGCATACTTATTCACTCGCTAGATTACTAGGTAATCTTCACATAAAGTAGTATCCTTCATGCAGCATATTATGTAGGATATCATTTCAAACAGAGACCTGATCTTCAAAACTGTTTCATATCGATTCTTGCACTAAACTATGCGGTCGCGAGATTCCCTCAATCGCACTGAATTTGCTAATACCTTCCTACTTTATTGATGCTTCCCTTCTATCTGTTCTGTCCCGGTTGATGAATCTGGGTTAGAATATGTTCCTCCTGTTACATACGGTTGTTAAAAGGGGCGACTAAATAGATTGAGTAGGCAACCTCAAAGGCGGCATATTTCATTGCTCATAAAACCATCACTGGTTTGTTTTGTCCAGACTCGATTATTTACAGATATCTGGCAAAAAGCTGGACTGTTGCTGGATGTAGCGAAAAACGACAAGCACATCAATGTAGGTTGAAGGTCCAGCATGGCATTTTGAAGTATGTATTATATTTATTAACACAATGTAAGTATTTATTATCCTTCCTTGCTGAAAGACTCAGATGTCTGCAATAAACATGTTAGCATGATGTTTTATCTTACCAGCACTTATGTCAAAGTTGTTGCGTAGTTTCGTTATCTGACAGGAATGTACAGCACAGTCGTAAACATTCCATTGCTCATGGTGAGAGATCTGTTCTTAAAAACTGTTTCATATCGATTCTTGCACAAAACTATGCGATTCCCTAAATCTCACTACATGTGCTAAAACGTTCCTACTTTATTGATTAAGTGAGAACAAATGTAATTGTGACAAATACCAGAACATGTCGGTCAAGTTGCTTTATCAGTCTAGTCCATGATATTGGAAGGTCTATGTATAGGCAGATGGTGTCACATGGTCTCATTTCTGCTGAACAAGACAACATAATGGAGGTCCGACAGCTCCTTGCTCTGTTCTTATTGTTCTTCTCATTGACATCAGCGCAGCGTCCGAACATCGTGTTCATTGTGGCTGATGACCTTGGTGAGTGTAGATAGTTAAGGCAATCAGAAAGTGATTAAAGTGAAATACCTACTGAAACAGTATGCCACTCTAAATGCATCTCATTTCAAAGTAGAGATATTTATTCTGTACAACCCGGTATTCATAGGAGACTGTGTCTTTGTACAGGCTGGAATGATGTTGGTTTCCGGAATCCCGACATGAAGACCCCAAACTTCGATAAACTGGCCACAGAGGGAATCATCTTCGAAAATGCATATGTCCAGCCTCTGTGCAGCCCGTAAATCGTTCTAATTTTGTTTCATTCTTATTTTAATGAGACATTAGAAAAACATGTGTTGTAACTTCAGTTGAAGCTTATTCTCACGCACATAAAGACATATATGCATAAAACAAATAAGTTATAAAAAGCAAATACAAATAGATTTAAATAAAGAATGAAGAGAATTTAGATAGAGCTGTATTGTAGAACAACCTATATAATTGCATTACAATCTTACACAAATATCAATGTTTCAGATCTCGTACCGCCTTTATGAGTGGGATGTTTCCATTCCACGTTGGCATGCAGGTAATTTTGTCGATCAATTCATAAATATTAAGAAGTGCAAAAACGCTTTGAGCAATCTATTCACACTATGCATGATGATACAAGTAGGAAATCCCTAAAAAAATGCAGGTTTTATTTAAGGTTATTCTCCCGCTCCTTGTGGCTTAATCCCTTCACTCATTTTTCAACTGACCCTATTGTCACTTAGATGTTTCACCCGTGAAGATCGGGGTTTGAATAGGTCTGCAGAAACCCACTCTGCACGTAAGAGGAGACTATGCTTGTCGTAAGAGACGACTTACGTGATCGGGTGGTCAGACTCGCTGACTTGGTTGATGCATGTCATCGTATCCCAACTGCGTTGATCGATTCTAACGTCAATATCACTGAATTGTCTGTTCCAGCCTCGATTATTTAAATTCCGCTGACACATAGCTGGAATATTGCTAAGAGCAGCGTTAAACAAAAAGCAAAACAAACAAACTTAAATGTTTCTTAAAGCTTTAAGGTTGCAACAAAAGCGTATTACAAAAGCGTGTTTATATCTACTTCTGATCTTCTTTAATCATTCACGTTCCTGATTTTACAGATTTTCATATCATGTCCCATGCGAGCATATAGAAATTGCTCATAAATTAAAGACACATTCATATTCAGCATAAGACTGTGCTCCATGGCCAAGCAGTGTGTGTGCCCCTCAACTATACCTTCCTGCCCCAGGAACTGAAGAAACTCGGCTATGCTACGCACATGATAGGAAAGTAGGTATAATGTCACATTGAAACTACAAATTTGTACAATCATGCAGACAGACAGACAAATTTATTCGGTAATTCAGGCCACCGGCCCATAATACGATGGAAATATACTGAATATATAGAGGGAGGGTTAACGAGACGCTTGGGAAAAGAGTTTCTTCTTGCTCTAGAATACTGGTCACAAATCATAAGAACATAGAATTCATCTTCAACATTGTTATTTCCCTTCGAAAAACAGAAAGTGCAGACACGAAATTATTACACCGGAACATGGCTATAAGTCTACGTTGGTAAGAAGACATATCACAAGTAATTTATGACTCCACATTTAGTAATGACTTGAACTGTGAGTAGTAATTGCATTTCGTTGATGATGTCAGGGAAAGGTGCCACTATTGAGTGAGGTAGTCGTAAAATCTTCGTTTAAAAACTGTCATGAAATATTGAATATTACCAATGTCTTGGCTTAGCCAAACAAAACCAAATCCAAACTGGAATAAAATCATTCTAATATGTGATGCCAGGGTAATATTACCATTATCATCAAGAGATTTTAGTATAATATTATAATAAGCTTGGATGGGTAGCCTGCGTTGTTCCATCTGAATGAGTCTGCTCCAGTACTTGACTGCTCTTGACATGTAGTAGTTATAGTGTAGGGAGATCCCACAACATTCTCCTAGAACCATGTTGTTATTGGTGAACTCATTTACTTTCAAAACGGATTTTCAGAATCTGTTATGGACACTCTCAATAATGTTACAGTAGCTGGTTCCCTCTGATCTCTGACAACAAACATATTTTGTGACATACTTTGAAAAATATATAGACCCTATGGAGCAATACACGTTGGTTTCTGCTAATGTAAAACTTACAGTACATATATGATTATATACCAGTGGACAAACGGTCCTGTTCCTTACTGACTTGTATGGGAAATAATAAATAAACGCAAATAAAGAACGATGTTGCAACAGAACAATATTCCGTGAAACATGAGCTCATCATGACCGTGTCAGTATAATATATGCTGAACCAAAAACATCTAAACATATAAAACAGCAAGGATACAGAATAACCAGTCTCGGTTATCAGCCGAGAGTGATCCATTTTGGAATAAAAAGCATAGACGTGCACGTGATATAAATGGATCACTGAAAATCAATGATGACACCAGGTGTTCGCAATAAAAGGTAGCATGTTTTGCCCTACCGGTAGGCCGCTCACACAATTTCCATAAAAGAGTTGGGTAGGTTGTCAGTTTCACAAGTCAGTATCGTCATAAGCAATGACAAAATACTAACAACGGCGCCCACTTGACGACAAAAAATGTTGAGGACGATTTATGAGCAGTCATTTCAGTTTTTGACTTTGACCTGTCACAGCTGAACCAACTTCGGTAGGTTTGGAGTTCGGTGTACATGACGTTTCATTTCATCCCACACGTCCTGATATAAAGTGATGTGACGGCCATGGGTCTGAAGGATGATCATTAGAGGGGTCCAGTGAGGCTTTCCCATCCAATTATGCTCCTGTCACCTAACGCACTACGTTGAAAAACGCACGCGTAAACGTAACGCTCCATTCAGCGTCGATACACACGCTGAAGATTATCACTGTGGTCAAGCTATAACCTTGTCTGATTCGTAAAGAGGACCTCTATTCCTGTATCTTGAAACATGACCATGTCCGGCGTGCCGTAAAATGACGTTGCATCAAACATAAACGTAGGTTGACCTCATGGTCGGATGTTATCTCTCATCATCGCTTCCTTACAGTCCTTGTACTGAGGTAAGCCAGGGATGCTGTGGGCTGTTAATCTGAAACCGACTTTCTCAAGTGAACCAGATTGATAAGATGACCTCGCCAAAGTGAGGTTACTCGTGGACGTCCAGAAGGTGGTCGGTCCCTGGTGTTCCAAGACTGAATGTTCGGCATTACGATGAACATCAAAACGTCTAGCAACAACATTTAGTGCAATTACGGTTTCACACATTCAAACTGCACGTAACTGCGCATTTTCAAATAGGCGTGGCTAGACCTTTACCGGGTTTGGCTATCAAGATTTTTTTTTTTTTTTGTAGTAAAAGAATTTACGGCCTAACGTGAACTGTGAATGTGACGAATTTCTTACACGAGGGATTTGTACATGCACTGACCCGGGATGCACGTGCATTTTCAGGGTCATCATGGGTAATATTGACGAAGTGTTCGTAAATGTGATAACCATACATGATTCTGAACAAAAACATCCATGCCAGTTATGTTTTAATGTGATTTTTATAGTGCACAGGAATTGTTTTCCGCTTGGATATGTGAGTTGCATTATGAATCTGTACATTTATCATTTGCATTATAATTTCAGATGGCATCTGGGTTTCTGCAAGTGGGAGTGTACACCGACGTACCGAGGCTTCGATACTTTCTTTGGTTATTATAATGGAGCTGAAGACTACTTCAATCACACTGTTGGTACGTATTATTCTGGTTGATGGTTTTAGGGAAAGGGTCGTTTCGTGAATTTACGTTTTACTTATACATTGTTGGCAGCTGTATGATGATCTTGGCTTTTTTTAATATTTCAGCAGAGAAGTACTTGGATTACAGGGACAATCAGCTTCCAGCAAGAAACTATTCTGGGGAATATTCTGCTGTAAGTATACAAAAAACAATTTGTCATTAACATTAGTGTAGTTGACAATTTTCATATCAATCCTGATTATATTTTTTAAAATGCTTACATTTTGTAATATATCAAAGTCCTCGGCAAGTCGGGTTTTGTTTTAGTCATTGTATACAGTCCTATCATCCTTTCAGTTCACATTCGCACAGAGAGCCGTTGACATCATCCATCGACATAATGTATCACAGCCTCTATTTATGTATCTCCCTTATCAGAATGTACATGGGCCTATTGAGGTAAGGAAATTCACAGTATTGAAAACGAGAGTCAGTTTAGTTCCTCCAGCCTTTCTTATCGGTTGAATCTGTAGTACATATGTCACGTATTAACATTAACCTCAATTTAATTATTTTCGAAAGACGTTTCTATTAAGAGAGTTATATATATATATAGTCCAGAATGGATCAATTCATAACCAGCGGCACGATGACCCAGTCCCAATCTTATTTTTTTTTGGGGGGGGGGTTGTCAGCACCCTACCTATAAGGCCTGCATCACTTTGGGCTTTCCTCAAGCATTAAGCTGACACACTGTGAAAGAACTGGAATACTGTTGTAAGTGGCATATTGTGATTTATGGTAATATGGTGATAGTGGTGTCACTGAGGGTGATGCTCTATTTGTTCACAATGCAATGAATGTGTTCAGTTTGTCAATGTATGTACCTCAACAATGGACATCACAGGTGCCCAAGAAGTACGAGGACATGTATCCGAACGTGATTAACAAAGGGCGAAGAAAGTTTAGTGGTATGTACATTAATATATATATCTACATCCTCACATTGTGTGCCTCAGAAAGAAAATAATCAAAGCTTAAAGTAATATTGACTTATTGTTGAGTTGAGTCTTATAAGCGAGTTTTGCCCCAATCTGTAAGTTGGTTTCACCCGAATCGAAAACATCTGCACTATATATCAATGTTTGACCCAGAATAACCTCACCCACCCTGCCATATCTGAAATACTTTTCAAAGCACTGACCCACTACTTTCATTACTTACAGGCATGGTGTCTGCCCTAGATGAGGCAGTTGGAAATGTTACCCAGGCCCTGAAGGATCGGGGCTTGTTTGAAAATACTCTGATTCTATTCACCACAGACGTAAGTAGTTGCAGTTGCAATATCAACATCGGAGAGAATCTTCAATCATTATTTTACAGAATGATTCACGTTTCTTGAACTTGGTGACAATCTTTATGATTGATTGATTTATTGATTGATTGTTGTTTAACGCCGCACTCAGCAAGATCCCAGCTGTATGACGGCAGTCTGTAAATAATCGAGTGATTGACATCATGAGCATCGGTCCACGCAATTTGGATACGGAGACATGCATCAACCACCTGATCATGTTAGCCGCCTCTTACGACAAGCATAGTTTGCATTCTTTGGAAAGCATGAGTAATCAGAATATGTTTCTCACTATTCTTAACAATAATTATACCTTGCCTAACACCTATACCAGTATAACTTTATGACGTTTCACATTAGATGGCAGCAAATAAGATATTTTATTTCTTGTTAATTATTATCAAACCATGCATGGAAGAAACTGCATATTGCAAGACTAAAAAAAATGAAACACACACAGCCACCAAGCAGTTCCATGTTATACAATAGGAACATTACACCTTTACCACTCTAACTTTGTTAGTGAAAAATACAATGAACTGTTCAATTGTTTCAGTTAGTGAAGGGTGAAATACATTTTATTTTGTCAGCTGGATACTCATGTCTCTTTAACCTGCTAACCATATCGTTCTCCCTTGTTATAAACCATTGATTATACAGAATGGAGGTCATATGAAAATGTTCGGCAGCAACTGGCCTCTGAGAGGAGGAAAGTACACGATCTGGGAAGGGGGCACCAGGGGGACATCCTTTATGTATGGTGCTGGGCTCCAAAAGACAAGGACGACCTACGATGGGTAGTAAGACAAGTGAATACAATCAGACCCAATTAAATGATCCTCTTTCGGAAAAGTGTTTCAGTGATAATGCAAATAAAATAAATGATCCTAGTTCGAATTTCGACAGGCATATAGTGAAATAGTAAAGGATTATTGACCTTTCCCGATCGAAACCTGAATTGAAGAAAACATAGCATGTGAAACGTTTCTGTGTTCATGTTTCCATAACCATGTCCACATTGTTACATAACTATGTCTAATATCACTGTAATAATATCATGACTGTATGAGTGTATTCAAAATGTACCTTCGATGACATTCTTGTTACACCACTCATTGAATATATATACTGCATGAACTAAAACTAGTTGAAATGTTTAGTCAATGTTTGATGGGTTTAAGTATGTGTTTTTTTGTAAATGTGAATCGCTTCTACCTCTAAACAGGATGATCCACGCCGTCGACTGGAAACCGACTTTAGTGTCTGCTGCTGGGGGAACACCAGGTAGGGAGATTCTCATTCATATTTCCAAAATATTTTGTCACAATTTCAATCTAGACAGATTATTTGGTAACTTCAAAGAATCAATGAGACAATTTAAAATGTTATTTCGATAAACTATTGCTAAAAATCATCGCCAAGGTTCTTCGAAGTGTTTGTCCACCTTAAATTGCATTTGGGTTGTAGCAACTACCATTGATGGAATAAGTCACTGGGATTCCATTCGAAACGGGCTTCCTTCATCAAGGACAGAGTTCATTTACAACATTGATGACTTTCCAGTTCCGACTGAAGGCCATGCTGGAATAAGGTGTGTTAAGCATGTTTTGTCAACAAATAAGAGTACATACAACAGGCTGTCAGAATTACCAGTATCATTTGTTATTGGGATTTGCATATCTACTATACCTAATCAAGGACCTATTTAATAAGCAATACCTAGTATCACATGCCACTATATGAAGTCGTTATCATTAAAGCAATCAAGTACAGATTTTATGTAACTGTATCTGCATTCTTGTGTAGAGTAGGTGACTACAAGCTGATCCTCGGGTTCCCAGGAGGTCCTGATGGCTGGCACAAACCCATGAACGGAACCAAGGATGACAAATATGAAGAGACAGTTTACACCGCTGGTGATGAACCAGTCCATCTCTTCAACATTCGAGGTACGCAATTATTCAACATAAAAGTGAATGGTCATCCCGAGATGTCCTACATGCTGATCACACAGTACCTACCAGCACCTGTATGTGCTACTGCTATGACCACCTTACTGCGTGTTCGGATTCGACTCGTGGTTATTGATCTGTAATCGTATACATTCAAACCGATGGGTTTCTAAGACCTGGTTTGCTTCAGGTTTTCATCATCACATTCCACTTGAACTTGACCACCGTTACATGATTGCAGCGCCAGCATCAAATACATGCTGCATATGTTAATGGTGGATCCCGGAGCGGTTGGGTAGCCTGGTAGTTAAAGCGTTCGCTCGTCACGCCGAAGACCCGGTTCGATTCCCGACATGGGTACAATGTATGAAGCCTATTTCTGGTGTCCACTGCCGTGATATTGCTAAAATATTGCTAAAAGCGGCATGAAACCATACACACTCACTAATGGTGGATCCAGACCCGAGAATACAAGCTGTTTATAAAATCAATGCAACACCACGATGAATGCATATTGCTTATAAAGCTCTCTCATGTTAACAAATATTCTGATACATATCCAGAGGATCCTACCGAGCACAACGACCTTGCACAGCAGATGCCGGACATGGTGGCGAAGTTGCGTGCCCGGTTCGAGGAATACAAGAAGACGATGGTGCCAGCTAATTTCCCTAAACCGGATCCTGCATCTGATCCCAGAAAATATGGATACGCTTGGACCCCCGGGTGGTGCTGATCAGATTTGCTCGTGTCAGTATATTAGTATGATGTGCATATTAGTATAATAGTGTAATGTGTATTTCGTACGTGCACAATAAACGAAAATTTGTCACGAATCAATATCAGTGTTACTTTAAGGCGAATTTTTTATCAAAGCATCGTCAGCGTTAGCGTGTAATTATTCATTGACTGATAAATAACCTCCAGTTATATTCCAGCTATATCATGACGACCAAGAGGTGAAACCAACGTTCTCCTAGACCACACCAAACTCATATAATCATCTAAAACACAACACAAATATATACTGTAACGGCTGTGTGGTACACGGCAGTTTATTTACGAAGCTCACGCAACACACAGTGACATCACTTCACTCCATATACCATTATTACATATCATATATCATATATAATATCGAAACATACGGATTGTAATGGTGGATGAAGCCCGACATGTCAAACCAGAGATAAAATCTTTTGTGAATACAAAAAGCTCTGGAACCGTGTTCTCCCTACGAATGCAACAGCACCAGTAACTGGTGAGTTTACAGAATTTGAATTTTGACCTTTTACATACGTCATACATACTTTTACAAATACAGATTATACACAAAACCTTTATTTTACTCATCTTACATGGGTCACACACACCCAATACAGCAGTATTATAGTGGTTCTGCCAACCGAATTAGTCTTATGGATCCGCAGCCTACCGTGCATTATGTAGCCAATGAAATGCAAACATACATTCAAAGTAGTGTTCTAAAGGCTCTGCAGCCACAATGCACACGTGAAAGTTAACACAATTATACCAGTGGGTATTATAACATCTCTCCAGCTTCATCAACAAACATGACATGTCAACAGCGACACTTAACCGTAACAGAATGTAACCTCACCGTCACACGTCCACATCTCAAACGAAATCCCTGAAACACATGAAAAAGGTGTCAGAAACAGAATAATGTAAAAAGAAAGAAAACAAAACATGTGTACATGCTCATGAAGCAAACATCAATAAATTTATATGTTGAGAGAGGCGACAACATAAAACCCTACCCTTTTAAACCCCCAAATATCAGCGCCATATAGTGGCATAATTACCACCCTTGGTTATAGAACGTACCACTAGGAGAAAGTAGTTTCCCCCTGATTCAAAACGTCAAACGAGGGAAACATCATTTCAAAAATAATTATCATTGGTATACATTCTGTTCATGTGAACATAAGGACAATATTATGCATCTAATATGTTTTCACCACACAAGTTTGCATATATCCATGTATAACGATGACGCGGGATTGTACACGGGTTCACGTGTTTTTTCGGTGAACAATTGACTTGCCTTCGCATAAGTGTCCTTTGGTCACGCCAGAAACCTATGATAGTGGGTTCGAACCCCGGAGCGCCCCGATTATGATATAAATCACATTCTGCAACATTCCAGCTATATGACGTCGGTCTGTAAATAATCGAGTCAGTTCCATACAATCCAGTGATTAACATCTTGAGCATTGATCTACACAACTGGGATACCATGACATGCATCAACCACGTCAGCGAGCCTGACCACCCGATCCCGTTGGTCGCCTCTTACGGCAAGCAATCACCTTTAATGGCAAGCATGGGTTGTTGAAGGCCTATTCTAACCCTGTTCTTATCTCAACTTCCATTAAACCAGACAAAGTAACCAGTAATTTCGAATCTTTTCTGATTGGATCCTTTTTCAAACTAGACCCAAAGTTCATTACATGGGATCAGAATCAAACCACATATAACTGTTCTTAACATTAACTAAATAAATGCGACAAACACCCTTCCCATAATACGACATAAACCTTTTCCGACTCAACATGTCAGCACATCGAACTTGGTGGTAGTTGGTGATCCAACCCAGGATCATCTGAAAATCAATGATCAAGTGAAACCATTTTCACTGATGAGTTCAAGGTTATCGTTTCATGTGTCACTTCGTTGGATCTACAACACTGTCATTCAGAAGTGATGGGATGTGCAATTTGGGACTATACGTTGAACATCCTGGCTGAATTATAATAATTCCGATAATCGCAATAAACTTAAAATAACCATTTTCGACCTGAATAATCAGTATGTATCACAGTGTACACGTGGATGTTTGCTAAAAACGCACGTGAATGTACATCCAAAATATATTCAACGTTATGAAATGTTAACCACATACAATGCTTGACAATGCCACCACCAAAGGCGTGTTTAAAAAACCCAGCAAATCTGAAAGATACTGCCCAGCATATCTCTTTGAACAATGAATGCATGTCGGAGTGTAACTAATTGATTGAACATAATAAATTGTGTGAGTGTGAGTTAATTCGAAACCTATTCATGTTGATGTATGGGTGGGCAGCTACATTAAATCTTACTCATCATCTACCTACTTAGTACTGATGACGTTGGTAATTCATGAATGTTGTTAAACGTTTGCTGCTCCTGCCTGCATTAATTTTATTTCAGATGCTCAAGTCTGGTGAATGAACATTTTGTTTAAATCAGTGTTCGTTGATGTATTTTACAGGTGCCTATTTAGACTACCGAGATAACAAACTTCCTGCTTGGGATTACAAGGTAGAGTATTCAGTAGTGAGTAATGTGCACAAAAATCGCCTCTAGTAGTTATATATATCGATATTGGACGATGGTGTTAATAAGTATCACCATGTTCCAGATTCAAGTTAGGTACTGATACCAGCTGCGTATCTTGATTAATGTGAACTTTTGCAATGTACAACATGTTGTTCTTCTACCACTGTAGATAGTCACGAGGGAAACCAAGGTCAGAAGGATAATTTTGTTCCTCTACCACTGTAGATAGTCACGAGGGAAACCAAGGTCAGAAGGATCCCAAGATCAACACTTATTCTTGTCGTAAGAGGTGACTAAATGGATCCGGTGGTCTGACTTGGGTGACTGTGTGTCATGGTATGATGATGGAATGGGACCCAGATTGTATAAACCACTAATTGCTCTGGCCCAGATCCCATAAAACCGCCGTAACCGGCCAGTTCTTCCTCGGGGAAGGTTCAGACAAGGCCACGCCTGCCCCTCTCTTCGCTCCAACCTAAGCCAGTTCTCTCTCATCTCAGGCCAGTTCTTATTCACTGTGGTCGTACCTCCCCACGTATTCAAACATGTAGGAAAGTAACTTATTTATATAATTATGCCCAGTCTCCCCCCCCCCCCCCCCCCCCCCCCCCCCCCCCCACCAATGGATTTCTTCAGGAACTCCATATTTGACATGTTTCACATATTTATGAAACTTTATATTCGTCTTCAAATAGTTTAGATATTTTACCACAATATAGAAAAGTTTCTATATTTATAACTGTGAAATATAAGGATGTTTATGTAAATTAATGATTATTGACAAATGTTAATCTTCTATGATGCCCACGATATTGATGAAGCTTTTTGTGTATTCATTTCTCTGTATCATTCACAAACGGTTTTATTGACATTAAAATGGAAAAAAAGTTCGCAACTCAAGAAGAGGTGGATCTTTCTAAAATGCTTAATTGCCGCTAATGTATCCCTCTGTTAAGGTATTAAATAATGAGATTATCAACAAAACAAATGCAAAACAATAACACCTGTTTGTATGTTGTGTTTCCTCCTTGTGTCTAAATGAATTTCAGGTAGTTATTTGTGAATTTAGATATATCTGATGATTAGATGTATCTGAGGTCTTAAATACGATGGTTATACTGAGAACTGCTCATTCTATACTGTTTTCATTCACTAAAATAGTCAGGCTTTTATAATATCACAATGTATGTATCAAACTTAAATAATTTGTCAAATACTCATTCTGTTGCTCTGTTTCAGTATACATTCGCACAGAAAGCTGTTGACATCATCCACCAGCACAACGTCTCCCGGCCTCTGTTTATGTACCTGCCCTATCAGAATGTCCATGCTCCTATTGAGGTAATTAGGAAGTCTTTTAGGTAGCTTCGTTACAAGACAAAAACGAGCATCTTCCGTCGCATCAGTTTTGTCTGTCTGTTTGAAAAAAAATATTTCTGGAACAGCTCCTTCTTTTCCATGGAGATGAGCAGCATCCTATGCCATGCGACTTCTGAGAGAATGCAAACAGGGAGATTTGGGAATTAAGATGAATACAATTGCACCCCCCAGTATGTGTATCTTAATTCCCAAGAATGTATGTTTTGAAAGTCTAGACAGTACAATATGTTTAGCCAAATTAATGCTTTTAGCTTTCTTTGAAAATGTCACTGGATGAGTCGACTTCAAATAGTTGAAATATTTATCTGTCGGAGGAAATAATTGCAAAATCACCAGACATTTGATACTCATGCATTTTCATGTTCTTATTTGCCAATTTGTTATATTCAGGTTCCCGAAAAGTACTTCAACGTGTATTCTAATGTGATAGACCAAGGTCGCAGAACATACTCAGGAAATCTTTTGTTCAAACTGTAATTACACATACATTCCTCTTCGTGTTCCCTATTCCTACCCCGTGGTGTAGGGGATAGACAGATTCGATCGCCTGTCCGTGTCATACCAAATGATACGGTACTTAATTAATATATGGTACTTGCTTGTTGTTTCCTGCCTCTTGATGGGCATTAAGCGGATAAAGCAAGGACGTGTTGCCTTGGAATCAGTATAATGTGCCTAAGTTGTGGTATCCCTGCTAAACTGTGAATATATGTTATGAAAACAAAATGCTTACATGATTACAGAATTGTATGTTGATATGATCTATTTTTAGGAATGGTGTCTGCCCTCGACGAAGCAGTTGGAATCGTTACACGGGCACTTGAGGAGAAGGGGTTGTTTGAAAACACACTGATTCTATTCATAGTGAGGAAGGTCGTATTCTTGATCAAACGAAATAGTGTGAATGGAAAGTGTCGTTAATGAGTGCACAGAGGATATTTAATATCACTCAAGAATGGCGGTCCTATTAACGTTTATGCTAGCAACTGGCCTCTGAGAGGAGGGAAGCACATAATCTGGGAGGGGGTACGAGGGGGGACATCCTTCATGTATGGCACTGGACTAAAAAAGACAAGACAACTTATAATGGGTTCGTAGACGCCACCCATCTAATGTTGGGCATCTATGAGAAGAATGGCATTTAAAGGGAGATAAAGGGTCGATTAATAATCATCTGAGCTAACGATGTTGGGTAAAGAGATCAGACAGTACAGGACATCTCAAACACATACGCAATCCCAGAACCATGTTATTACAGAATGATGCATGCTGTCATAGTGCGATTTTACTTTGTTGAGTAACGTTGCAGCCAGAAATATTCCGGTGTACCAGGCTGAACTTTCCGCTTGCCAGTTCTTCCCCGCGGACGAAATAGCCGAGGCTTAGGAATATCCCAGTGTTCTTCAGTGAATTTGAGATAAACTGATTAAAAGAGGGGTATGATTGAGCCTGCGTTCAGATATGGGTTAATTTCCAAATTTGACCGCAGAAGTTTTAATATCACACCTCCTGTTTTTTTCCAAATACATTGACATGATGACATTAAGGTGATGGGTAGGAACTGAAGTGCGCCAATACCTAAACACCAAATTCATTGGAATTTGATATAAATCCATGTAAATTTCATAACTAGCTCAACTAGTATATGTACATGTAATTACCCCCGCTGAAGTTTTAATTTCAGTCTAAATTTCGTATATTTGCTATCACATGCTGTCATTCTGAGTGATAACATTTTACATCAGTTCCACATTTCTTTCCAAAACGATTTGAAGGCCGCACAGAACAACCTTGTCTGCATTTATACATACCTTATTATACATTATAAGGTGAAGTATATTATAATGATAAGAAACATATACAAACATTACAATAATGAAGTATCCTCCACTGTTAATCCTCTACTGTTAATCCTCCACTTGCTATATATATTCTGCACTATGTCCCTCATTCAGTCTTGCTTGACAACGGTATAAGGATCTATACCGAAACGTCGCTTTTTACAGTATTAAAGAAGTTGTTATCCACAAAATTGTGTCTATCTTGTCATACGATAGTCCATTGTACGATTCCAACGAAATTTTACTGTGGCCTTTCTTGTAACCTTTATCAACCAACTTTTGTGAGCCAGAGCCGTATGTCACTCAAAAAAACGGATGTTCGACTGTACCTCACAAGTTGTGAAATGTAGACAAACTTAAGACTGGTGCTGCAGTAATATTTCTCGACATGAAGGAAAGTTGACGATTGCAAAGTAGAAGTCATCACACTAAGGGTCTTGTTTGACACAGAAGATGCGGTTTTACCTTTCTCATTTATCTGTATTTGGAAGGGACTTGGCTATTTGATCATTATTCGTTTGGTTTGGTGTGTTGTTTTACACCGCACTCAGCAATATTCCAGCTATATGACGGCGGTCTGTAAAAAATCGAATCTAGACCAGTGATTTACATCATGAACATCGATCGACACAATTGGGATCGATGACATGCATCTACCCAGGCAGCACCCACCCGATCCCGTTAGTCGCCTTTTACGACAAGCATAGTCGCCTTTTAAGGCAAGCATGGGTTGCTGAAGACCTATTCTACGCCGGATCTTCACGGGTCTTGATCATTATCGAACAATATCTGATCAACTATACACATGAAGATTAAGGTAAAGGTCAACGTTGTTGCCAACGTGTCCTAAAACTCAAACACATGGATGTTATCTATGTAGTTTGCACACTCAAAGGCAAGTCAGTTGTTCACCCAAAATAAAAATTAGATTTGTTTGTTTGTTTGTTGTTTAACGCCGCATTCAGCAATATCCCAGATATATGACGGCGGTCTGTAAATAATCGAATCTGGACCAGACAACCAAGTTATTGACATCATGAGCATCGATCCACGCAATTTAGATCGATGACATGCACATATGTACAAGAAGCAGGAATTGACGTCCTATTGGGACTAGTCAAACGTTGTGGACCGGGATATTTCAATCTTATTTGTTGGATGAGTTCTTTATATAGTCAAAACATGAGCCTCTGCAAACTTTGAGTAGCAGATATATTAATGAAACATAAAGTGATTTTCGAACGATTTTCGATTTCAGAAATTTCACCGATAACATTCCGTGCCATTGTTAAATGCAAACCTTTGGGCTCAGCGTGTGTGCATCATTGAATGAAAGAAATTCCCAATAGTGTACAATTCTAGAATGTATACCAATGACATATTTGTATTGCAAGTGTCGTTAAAGTATTGGCCGGAATGATATACCTTAAACATTACAGGATGCTCTGGGAAAAGTCTAGATCAGTCAATAATTAATTACTCACGGTAACCATGGCTATCCTTTGATAAAAGACTTCGTCATTAAGTCATGCTTATGTTAACTAACACATTTTAATTTATTATGCGCGTACGAAATGAAGATTATACCATAAGAGCATGATTCATATTGACACAAGTACATCTCCTTAGCACCACCCGGGGCTCCAAACGCCTCCAAACTTTTGGGGGTCAGATGCAGGATCCGGATCGGGGAAATTGGCTGGCACCATGGTCTTCTTGTACTCCTCAAACCGGGCATGCAACTTCGCCACCATGTCTGGCATCTGCTGTGCAAGGTCATTGTGCTCAGTCGGATCCTCTGAATGTGAAACGTAATATGTGTAAAAACTTAGGGGAAGAGAGTTTTATAAGCATTGTTTTCATCGTGATGTTGCATACATTTTGGAGCATGAATCAAGTTTAGTAATGATGGGATGATGAGAACCTAAAAGACAAGTCTTGAAATGCATCAGAATGAGAGGGTTCTACTAAGCGTTGAATGTATACTATTATGGATCGATCAAAATTACTAGCCGAATCCAAACACACAGTAAGTGACTTTGCAGTTTTGCAGCAGTACACATAGGTGCTGATACGTACTGTGTGCCCAACGCTAAGGAGGACTACTAAAGACAAATGACAAATACTCAGATTTATATGTTAATTCATAGCGCACCTCGAATGTTGAAGAGATGGACTGGAGAATCTCCTTTGACATAAACTGTCTGTTCATATTGTTCATACTGGGTTGTGTTCATGGGTCTGTGCCAGCCATCAGGAGCCCCAGCGTATCCCATGATGAGCTTGTAGTCTCCTACTCTGATACATAATAATGCAAATAGGTATTTCATTGCTTTTAAGATCACGACTGTATACAGTGCAGTGGCGTGTGATATGGTACTTGAAATAGTTCATTGATTAGGTATGTAAATATGCAAATCGGGGTACACCATGCAGGTAACTCAGTCAAGCTGTTGCATTTAAACTTATTTGATGACAAGACGTCCTAAAATACCTTATTCCAGCATGGCCTTCGACAGGAATTTCAGTGTAGTCAATGTTGTAGATGAACTCTGTCCTTGATGAAGGGAGCCCGTTTCGAATAGAATCCCAGTGACTCATTCCATCAATGGTAGTTTCTGTGCCCCATATGCAACGAAAGGTGTAAAACCGTTGTGTTGTACCTTGCCGATGTTTTTTTTGTTATTTTCTGAACATTTTATCAATCTAATGGCACATTCAAAATCATGTCACCAATTCTTTCAAGATACAAAATAATCTTTCATTATTGCAATTGAGACACAATTCGGTAAAGTATAAATGAGAATCTCCTTACCCGGTGTTCCCCCGGCAGCAGATACTAAAGTGGGCTTCCAGTCGACAGCGTGGATCATCCTGTTTAGAGATAGAAGCCATTAACATATGAAAATATACCACCAGCTAAAAATCCGCCAAACATTGTCAACAACATTTCAATTAGTTTCAGTTGATGTACTTAACAATCAATGATTGGTTTTGTTTAACGCCGCACTCAGCAATATTCCAGATATATGACGGCGGTCTGTAAATAATCCAGTCTGGACCAGACAATCCAGTGATTGACATCATGAGCATCGATCCACTCAATTGTAATCGATGACATGCATGAAACAAGTCAGCAAGTCTGACCACCCGATCTCGTTAGTCGCCTCTTACAAGCATAGTCGCCTTGTACGACAAGTATGGGTTGCTGAAGACTTATTCTACCCCGGATATTCATGGGTCGGGTGTATAAAGACTTTATTGAAGGTGTATTTTGAACAAACACCAATGGAATAAAATTAGTATAGTGAGGACAGTTGTTTACCAAAATGTACGTGGTCTTTTACTGAATAACCATGTTCTGCCGTAATTATTTCCAGGATAATCTTTTGGATTTTAGGGATTATCACTAAGGTACTTAACATTGAGTTTTGTCTTATTGTATTTTATGGCGTTACCCATTGTATGTAGTCCTTGTCTTCTGGAGCCCAGCACCATACATGAAGGATGTCCCTCTCGTACCACCCTCCCAGATCGAGTGCTTCCCTCCTCTCAGGGGCCAGTTGTTGGCACAAGCTTCGAGAGCGCCGCCATTCTGAATGATCAATGTTTTATTCGAAGAGAGAATGACACGATTAGCAGTTGGATTCTTCACGAATACCGTTGAAATGGCAATCGTTTGATGTTCCAAATGTATAACACACAACGGTTTGGTGGTTTGTGTGTTTCTTTTTAGACACGCAATTGCACTTTCTGTCGTTCAGGATTCATGATCACAAGAAATAGAAATAATCTATTTTTTCTTTCCTCAACTGCAGAATGACAAGCCATACTTTTGTTGGTTTTAGGCAAGGTATATTTAATCATCAAAAAACGGAGGTCAAGGCTGATAAGTCAAAATTAATGAAGCTGTTCACAGAGTTCAAGATACGAGAAGCATTCTGTACAAAATGTACAGAAAACCTCTGTACAAAACTTCTCCCAATGGTAATACTGCAACTACTTACATCGGTGGTGAATAGAATCAGAGTATTTTCAAACAAGCCCCGATCCTTCAGGGCCTGGGTAACATTACCCACTGCCTCATCCAGGGCAGACACCATTCCTGTTGGGAATGAAAATACTGGATCGGTGCTTTGAACAGTATTTCCGGGGTCTCATGTGACGGTTATGCTGATCAACTTAATAAAAGTAAATAACAATTGATTGGAACTATGATCATAATATTTTCTTAGAAATACTTTGTGAGGATTTCAGAGACAAGTGTTTGAATAAAATATGAAATACGGACATAAACTTCCATACCACTCATCGTCCTTCGCCCTTTGTTAATCACATTCGGGTACATATCCTCATACTTCTCAGGAACCTGTGATGTAAACAAGTAGAGGTACACATATTGACAACAAGTACATGGTAATTGCATTGTAATTAAATATAACCTCACCTAAAGAAACACCACCACCGACCTAAATTTTTTTGAAATGGTAACCCATTCATCGATTGAAAATATATAAGTCTTAGCAACAATGTCTTTCGAAAAAAGTGAAGCTGACGTGCATGTTAAGACAACTGGCATCATGCGCGCTCAACCTACAAGAGTGATTATGGTTTTACGCCGTTTTTAAAAATATTCCAGCACTATTACGGCGGAGAACACCAAAAATGGACCTCACACATTGTACCCATGTCGGGAATCGAACTCGGGTCTTCCGCGTGACGGGAGAACGCTTTAACCACTAGGTTACCCGACCGCCCCTCAACCTACAAGAAAGCCTGGTGGCATTAAACGGGAACACGTTCTCAATACAGAGAATTTCGTTACCTGAAGAGGACCATGTACGTTCTGATAAGGGAGGTACATAAACAACGGCTGTGAAACATTGTGTCGATGAATGATGTCAACGGCTCTCTGAGCGAATGTGAACTGAAATGGTAATAGAAGTGAATATAATGTTCAGGCAAATAAATGATTCACCGAGGATGTAGATATGTTACAAAAAGTAAGTATTTTAAGAATATAATTGCGATGGATATGAAGATTGTCAACTCAAGTTTGTCTTTTCCCTTGCATACTTACAGCAGAATATTCTCCCGAATAGTTTCTTGCGGGAAGCTGATTGTCCGTGTAGTCTAAATACTTTCCTGGTGAAATATGAATTATACTTAGACCATAATACATCTTACATCATATTCTTACATCTACTAACAATGAATAGGTGAAACGTTTATTCACGAAATGACGTCTAAAACAAGCTTCCATAAAACCCCACAAGTTTTAATGATACGCACCAACAGTGTGATTGAAGTAGTCTTCACCTGCGTTATAATAGCCAAAGAAAGTATCGAATCCTCGGTACGTCGGTGTGCACTCCCACTTGCAGAAACCCAGATGCCATCTGGAGTCACAAAATGCTTGTATCGTTTAAAATGCAACTCATAAGTAATCATATATACTACCGACAAAAACAAAGGGATCTGATGCTTTGAACATAGCTATCGTTTAGGTGTACATTTACAATACTGAACGCAACATCATCAATCTAATCATAAATAAATTTCACATCATATATGAACAGTACGTGTCCCAGGAGCACACATAAGACAAAGTGTGTGCGCCTGTAGGTGAATTCATAATCACTTATGGAATATTGCTAGGTACACGCCTAGAATGCCACAATTAACAGATGAAATGACGTCAATATTCCAAGTTGCCCAAATGTTTGTTCAAATCGAAATGTTTCTATTCCCGTCTGTGGGACAAGTGCCATCAAACAGGTCGGGTTGCAATGAGACATGGTCGTGGGAGACGTAACAACGACAACTAGACAAGATCGTCTCATTACATCAATTTTGCAATAGATACAAATCTGCTCCTGGTAGCAATATAGAATTTCGTACAATAACAGGGAAGCGAATTTCAACTTCTACCTTTAATAAACGGAAAGGAACTAACTTCAAGGCATTCTGTGAAGTGTGTGGATCTTACAGCTTATCATAGGCGGGAAAGATTGAGATGGGCTAGGTAACTCTAGGGACGGCGTTACGCCGTTTGCATACGATTAAATGTTTTGCTTCCCTTTCACAGATGGCAGACTTACTGGCAGAAAGTATTGAACTGCACGATAACAATGCCACATCATGCCGAGGTCGTTACCGATTACTTTCAAGGAGATGGCATATGGACATTGGACTGGTCCGCCAGTACGCCTCCTACCCGGCACCCGGCACCCGCCAGCGTCACTCAGCCTGAGAAACACCTGATATTGATCTACTCGTCCGAAATTAATTTAACAGACATGTATCGTCATTACGCCTTCACTATGATTTCATTAGATACTTCATTTCTCTGGAGACCGGAAGGTCCGCGGTTCGATCCCCAGCCGCGTCATACGAAAAAACGTCAAAAGATGGTCCTTGTTGTTACCCTGTCTGGCGCTCGGCATTAAGGGCTAAAACAAGGACTGGTCGGCTCGGAGTCAGTGTACTGTGTCTGAGTGGGGTATTCATGTTAAACTGCGGCATGGTATCTCAGTGTGCTAGCACTATAAATCGGCATCAGTTCGGACTAGTACAAGCAGACACACACACACACACACACACACACACACACACACACACACACGTGCATGCACGTCGCTATATAAGTGCAATAATCTTGGACGCGAGGTTGAGCCCCATTTGACCTCACCTCACCTTCATTACCATCTACAAATGTATCTAAGAATGATGTTTCTTCCCAGAAGACACATGTCTCAAGTTGTCATCTGAAGGTTTAATGATTGTGTGTCGTGCAGTATGTTTTCATTTATTCCAGGTTATGAATGCTTAACTTCAATGTTACATAGTACCTACTTTCCGATCATGTGCGTAGTGTATCCGAGATTCTTCAGTTCCTGGGGCAGGAAGGTATAGTTGAGGGGTACACATGCTGCTTGGCTAGCTCCCAAAACCCTGTGCTAAATATGATGTTCTCTTCGTAAAAATCATATACGCTCACAGGTGAGGGGACACGGGTGGCCCAGTCGTCTAAGGCGCCACGATTCGCTGTGCAGAGTTGTGTCGCTTGGACACGCCACAAACCTATGATTGTGGGTTCGAATCCCGGTTCGCCCCGATTATGTTTCTAGGTTTGTCAGCACCATACCCGTGCTCGTGGGTTTCACCGCAGTGGTCAACGTCTGAGACCTGCATCACTTCGAGCGTTCCTCCCACATTAAGCTGACATGCCATGATATAACTGTAATACTGTTAAAAGCGACGTTAAACCAAACTCACTCACTCACTCACGGGTGATATGAAATGAAAATCATTTTGATCAGAAATGTGAATCATGAAAAGCTATTAGAAGTGGCTACCTTTTAAAAGAGCAAACAATTAAATCTGACGATAGGTCTTGAAAGATAGTTTATTCTAAAACAGGACCAATCAAACAATGAGTGAAGGGATTTACCCTCAAGGAGCGGCAGAGTATCACTCAATACAACTTGTATTTTTTCAGGGATTTCCCACTTGTATCATGGGTGACTATGCTTGTCGCAAAAAAGGCGACTAACGGGATCGGGTGGTCAGGTTCGCTGACTTGGTTGATACATGTCATCGATCCCAATTGCATGGATCGATGCTCATGATATTAATCACTGGATTGTCTGGTCCAGACTCGATTATTTACAGACCGTCGTCATATAGCTGGAATATTGCTGAGTGCGACGCAAAGCAACAAACCAAACCAACCAAACCAAAACTTGTATCATGATTTATATTGTGTATGTACGTCCTAATATGCCAGTATGACGAATAGTATAATATAACCAAGCAGTTGATAGATAGCTGCTCTGACCATGTTGAGAAAACAACGACATACTTACCTGCATTCCTACGTGGAATGGAAACATTCCACTCATAAAGGCGGTTCGGGATCTGAAACAATGATTGAATACTTCAATGATATTGTTATTACATAGGCAGTTCGGCAATATAGCTCCAACCCAAACCAGTTCAGGTCTTAGAAAGGCATTTAGAAGTCATACACACGAGGAAGAGAATATATGGATGTCAACATCTTTACTATGAGAAACAGAACGTTTTGGAGTATATGCTTACTCCTTCATCAGTGAGTGAGTGAGTGAGTTGGGTTTAACGCCGCTTTTAACAGTATTCCAGTTATATCACGGCGTGTCAGCTTAATGTGGGAGGAAAGCCCGAAGTGATGCAGGTCTCAGACGTTAACCACTTCGGTGAAACCCACGAGCACGGGTATGGTGCTGACAAACCTAGAAACATAATCGGGGCGAACCGGGATTCGAACCCACAATCATAGGTTTGTGGCGTGCCCAAGGGACGCAACTCTGCACAGCGAATCGCGGCGCCTTAGACGACTGGGCCACCCGTGCCCGCTGCTCCTTCATCAGGCGAAGTTCATTCTTCAAATTCACCCACTGCTGTTTTTTGCTTTTGTTTATGGCTTTTTGAAAACGTACGTGTATTTTTTATTTTTTATTTGATTAGGCAATTAGAAATTGAAGGATAAAACAAGTAACATGTATATGTCTTTTCTTACGTCTCTAATGTTTTCTAAAAATCAAGATGAAAGAATATAAGAACACTTTACGGGCTGCACAGAGGCTGGACATATGCATTTTCGAAGATGATTCCTTCTGTTGCCAGTTTGTCGATGTTTGGGGTCATCATGTCGGGATTCCGGAAACCAACATCATTCCAACCTGTATGAACACAGAGTTCCCTGAATACTCGGTTATGAAGACAACACCACCGTGTTAACATCTCTACTTTGAAATGAGACACATTTTGATTGACCCATTTCAATACGTATTTCACATTAATTTAATGTCTTATTGTCTTTACTACCTATACTCGCCTAAGTCATCTGCCACAATAAAGATGATGTTTGGACGCTGGGCTGATGACAATGGTAGGAAAACCAGGAACAGAGCAAGGTGCTGTCGAACGTCCATCATGCTTGATTGTTCAGCCGAAATATGACTTGGCTCCTATCTGCCAATATATAGACCTTTCAGTGTCACAGACTAGACTGATAAGCATATCCATATCTCAACATTGACCTACATGCTCTGGTATTTGAGGCAATCACTTTTGTTCAAGCTTAAAACTAAGGTAGGAACGATTTAAGACATTTAATGAGATTTAGGAAATGTAACAATCGCATAATTTCATGCACAAATCTGTATGTAACAGTTTTCAACATCAGTGTCCTGGCTAAGGAGCTACAGGATTATCACAACGACTGTGCGATACATTCCTCTCAGATAACGCAAATATGCAACAACGACTGTGATATAAAGTCATGTCAGGTATCTATTCAAACTTAGAATCAGCACAGGGACAGAACAGACAGGAGGGTATAATGCTGCCTGAAGGATGCTACTACAAATAAAGAGAGTTTTTGGTAATCTAGTGAGTGAAAAGGTGTATGCAGTGTTATAAATTAAGGAGGGTCCGTGAGCAATATTAGTATATTATTCAAATTCAGGGACCTCCCTTGTTGCTAACATTGTGCATAAGGTTTATGAGCCTTTGTCTTTAATTATAGCCTACATTTCGGTTACTGGGCCTCCAACCTGGAATACGCAAGCAACTCACAATCTATGGAACATGCTTGCAAAATAAAGGCTCCGTGAACAGCCTACTTAACGTTGGGGTTGTGAAGACATAAACCCTTCTGGACAAACGTGAGGCTCAACAAACAAAATGAATATTAAGTAGCACACAACTCTGTTGCTCAATATGAAAGTTATTTTGCCCTCCTGCATAGACTAACTCACGTGTTGCTTTACGCCTATAGCTAAGGTCTTGGACGTTACGACTTGCATTTGTCATTTAAACATAATGTCCGCTGGATGTTGGTTTAAGTCACGATAGGATCATACACATGTTGGTGCATTTCATCACCTTGCAACACCTATTCTTTTCTAGGAAATACACTAAACTCTCTCTCGTACTGCAATCAGCGTTACATAGTTTGTAAAGCATCACTGTTGTAACTTTGAGTTGGGGCGTTTAGTGGTTAAAGCGTTCGCTCGTCACGCCAAAGACCCGGGTTCGATTCCCGACATGGGTACAATGTGTGAAGCCAATTTCTGGTGTCCCCCGCCGTGATATTGCTGGAATATTGCTAAAAGCGGCGTAAAACCTCACTCACTCACTCATTATACATGGTGTGACATGCCGTTTACAGTTCAAAGTCAGTATGACCCTGATATTCAAAGAATGAAATGCGATGTTAATATTGTGTACAGATCATGAAAGAGAGAGAAGGGGGGTGAGAGAGAGATGGGGTGAGAGAGAGAGAGAGAGAGAGAGAGAGAGAGAGAGAGAGAGAGAGAGTCTGTGTCTTGGCATAGATTAAACGCTGGAGAAATCTGAGGACTTCACACTGGCTGTCTATCCCATATCTCTTTGAGCCGCAATATTTGAGGCGTTTCGGCTCAAACCAAGAAAGAACTGACATCCTCTATTTTGTATTATATGTAAATGACTTTGTCCATACATACCCCAACTGGCACTGTCATGCATGGTTATGGGTTGGACCATTGATTCATACAGGTTTGTAAATACATCATGGGTGAAGCCATCTGCATCTAGATACTACAGTGCACCTCGCGCGCCCTTGGCCGATTTGCCTGCCTTATGTGTTGCAACTGCAAAATCTAATTGTTCCTTATGCCACAACCCAATATATTTATAGTTATTTTAGTAGTCAATATTCTCCTCGCCTATGGTGAAATTGTATTGAGAACGCAGCACAATTGTCTGTCTTAATTGTAAAACATTTAGTAATATACTGAACCTCAAATAAAACGTCACCCCAAGTAACATTGCATGAACAGTTGTCATTTAAATATCTAGGTACGTTTTGTCAAAGTTTCTAAAAATTAACATTACCTTGTCCGGAAAAATTAAGTTTGATGATAAAAAACCCAAAGCAGATGACAATAAAACCGCATCACGGCAACGGCCATGAAATTGAAATGCACATGCGTTCCCCAATTCATGCCCTATCGGATCCACCCAGATCAGATAACATACATTTGTTATTGAATTGCTACCACATGCCAAGATTGACAAGAAATCAGCGACACCAAGCGCTTGGACGATTGCAGGCTGAACAAACCGCCCGGCAAGTAGCCAATGCATTTCACGTCCACGTAAGGACCATATACAGGCTCCAGCAACAGTTCCAGACCACCAACACTACAGATGACCGACCACGTAGTGGAAGACCAAGGGTCACCACCCGACGTCAGGATCGTCAGATCATGCGACAGCATCTTCAAGATCGCTTTGTTACTGGTGCGAAAACTGCTCGACAGACCACGGGAACACCAGCGACACATTAGTGCGGACACCGTGCGTCGATACCTCCACTGTCACAGGCCACACCGAGGACCCATTCTGTCAAAACGTCATCGCCGGGACCGTCTTCAGTGGGCAACACAGCACCAGCATTCGCGCCATCAGCAGTGGAGAAGAGACCTCTTCTCAGACGAGAGCCGTTACTGTATCTCAACAGCAGATGGCATAGAGAGTCTGGAGTGGGGAACGTTATTCGGTACATTGATCAAGTCTTGAGACCACACGCCATACCTCATTTGGCACGTCGCCGCAACCACACGAAATTCAGCATGATGACGCCCGTGCCCGCACTGCGAGAGCAACAAGAGACTACCCCTTGCAGAATGCCATCAGAACCATGCAGTGAACTGCCCTCCGTCCCGATTTAAATCCCACTGAGCACCTGTGGGACGAGATTCAAATACGGCTGAATGACGTCCGACCTAGGCGAACACAACAGCTGAACTGCGTCAGGCGTTCCCCAGAGTGTGGGCTCAAGTGCCTATGACCTTCATCAACCGCCTCATCCATTCCATGTATCGACGTTGCACGGCAGTCATCAATCCACATGGCGGACACACGAGATACTGACTTGTAAGGGTTCCTTTTAGTGGCGTTATGCTTATTATCTGTCACCTGTATGTTTCCTGTAACATATGTTTATCTGGTTCCTTATGTATTATGTTAACACAGGTTTAATATGCATCGAATAGACTTGTGTTAGCTTCCAGTTCATTTTCAGTGTGGTATATATTTCAATTATCTTTACCAATTAATGAGTCAGGGACAAATGGTCTCTGTTGATATGCATTTCAGTAGCTCCAACATTAACAGTGCGTGAGTGAGTTGGGTTTAACGCCGCTTTTAACAGTATTGCAGTTGTATCGCGGCGTGTCAGCTTTAAGTGGGAGGAAAGCCCGAAGTTATGCAGGTCTCAGACGTTTACCACTTCGGTGAAACCCACGAGCACGGGTATGGTGCTGGCAAACCTAGAAACATAATCGGGGCGAACCGGGATTCGAACCCACAATCATAGGTTTCTGGCGTGCCCAAGGGACGCAACTCTGCACAGCGACGACTGGGCTGAAACAAAACATCCAGGTTGTTTGCACAAGATGAGCATGAACATGAACACAGGGTGACTTCACTGCTTTCTAATGTTAGCCACAGGGTATCTTCGATGGCCCTGTCAAGAACAGTGACCTTGAAAACACCAATAAGCTCATTTTTTATAAGCAATCATTTCACCACCAGAGCCACGTCGTGCCTTTTTTGTCAATATGTTTTCTGTACCAAGTGTAGCCTTTAGACTTTATTTGTACCTTGTCCCTTAAGAAAGTTACACATAAGATATGATATCATAGAAGTTAGTTTTGATCCCCTTTTCTCTGGCACAATCAGAGTTTTTAACAATAGTATGTCCTCTTACATTGTAGCTGTCCTACTTGACAAGTTCCTTAAACTGTAATAAGGCAATGCTGTGTCTGTAGTTCTGCTTTGGACATACCGTTTTCTATGTTGAATCTTATACATTTGACGTCTTTCACCTTTCATAACATAATTACACCTGGTCTTGTCCCTGTCCTCTCTCACATTCTGTAGTTTCAGACCATCTTTGATTAGGGCACTCACTTTATTTATGTGTTAGGGTCATTTTCTTCATTATTTGACGTAGGAAGATTTGTCAAAACGAAAGCATTGTCAACTGAAGCAACAGACGCATACGAATTTCCAGTTATATGACGGCAGTCTAAATATTCGAATCTGGACAAGACAATCCAGTGATTTACATCATGGGCATCTATCTACGCAATTGGGATACGATGACATACATCTTTTATCCTGAAAACCCGATCCTGATAAACGCCTCTTACAAGCATGGGTTGTTCAAGATGTATTCTAATCCGGATTGTAATGGCTCTTGTGCGATATGAGCAGTATGTGATACATGTAGGTGATATGTGATATATGTGTGGGGAATTTCAGAGTAATATTTCATTTTCTGCTCAGCACTATGACCCCGGTCAATGGATTAATGTGCACTCGAGTTTCATGCTCAGCTCCCTGGTTGATATACAGTCCACTCAGACCGTAAAGCGCCCTCGGGTTAACAGTCACCTTACCATGTCATCTTACCGGGTACCCATTCACAGCTGGGTGAAATAGATGCATATTTCAAACGAAATTCATTGCATAAGGATACACGACATATGCTACATGTGCTTTCGTTTGGGCCAGAACTGCAGGCCTAGAACCTCTCAGGATTCAATCTGCCGAAGTTTAATTGATTTGTAACATATATACTTTACACAGGGCTACGTACCACTACGGTGCCTTATGTTTGGCCCGATGTTCGGCCTGACGTTCGGCCTGATGTTCGGCCTGTTGTTCGGCCTGTTGTTTGGCCTGATGTTCGGCCTGACGTTCGGCCTGATGTTTGGCCTGATGTTCGGCCTGAGGGGGGGCAGGCTCGCTGACTTGGTTGATGCACGTCATCATATCCAATTTGCGTAGATCGATGCTCATAACGTCAATCACTGGATGATCTGGTCGAGACTTGATTATTTACAGACCGTCGTCATATTTCTGGAATATTGCTGACTGCGGCGTTAAACAACCACAAAAAAACACAATGCTGAATAAGCAATATGTGTAACATCGATGAGTATTGTATTTCTCATCTTTACCGCTTGAAAGGAATTTACATAAACGGTTAATATATTGAACATTGTCGGTTGACATCAGCCATACAATAATTATATAAGTCTTTCTACTGTTGGTGAATGGATGAGAGGATTGGGAATAGCTGTCACATATCAATTGTACATGGAGTTATCCTCTGAATATACCAAGTTTCTCATATGGCAGAATAAACACAAGCATTCGTTATGGCAGCCACGTTGACAACTGCAAGTCTCAAATTATTACACCGAAACATTGTCAGCATTTTACGTTGACAAAGGAGAAGGTCAGAGTTTAAATAGGTTCCACACTCAGCAAAGATGTAACTTTAGAACAATAAATGCAGTATTTTGTGAATGGGTAAAAAAAATGTGTTTGACGATGACCATGATGGGAAGATGCAACCAATGTCTTGATATATATCCACGTATACCCAAATTCATATTTAGATAACATTGTCTTACATGAGACACCGGGATCGGGTGGTCAGACTCGCTGACTTGGTTGATGCATGTCATCGTATCCCAATTGCGTGGATCGATGCTCATGATGTCAATCACTGGATTGTCTGGACCAGACTCGATTACTTACAGACCGCCGTCATATAGCTGGAATATTGCTGAGTGCGGCGTTAAACAACAAACCAACATGAGACACCCACTATTACCATTAACATCAATAGTAGTAATTGTTGTATATATGCTAGGTGACGAAGTCTATGATTTGGTAGGTCAAGTCTTGACCAGTACTTGACTGATCTGAATCTATAATGATACTGCATGTGGTGTCAGACATAATCTGTGGTTTATGATTATTTGCACTCTCCCAAAGATAGTACAATAAGTTTGTGTGTGTTTGTTTGGTGTTTAACGCCGTACTCAGCAACATTCCAGCTACATGGGGCGGTCTTTCAACCTGGTATTTATAATATCACAATACACCTTACAGAGAAATGCCTCTTTAAGTGGACGGGTGACATCATGAGCATCGAGGCACGCAACTGGGATACGATGACATGCATCAACCAAGTCAGCGAGCCTGACCACCCGATCCCGTTAGTCGCCTCTTATCTCCGATCCCGTTAGACGCCTCTTATCTCCGATCCATAGCACAGAATAGGTGTGATAATTGCATAAAGACATGTTTAAAATGAAAAAGGCTATTTAGTAATATATCAAAAATGTTACTTAAAGTTGGCGATTGAGAATATTGCTTTTCTCGCTTGAGTTGTTTAACTTTTTTTAGTCTTTGTCCATGACAATTTAGGTGGAGAATACAACACCAACATGTGTGTAAATGTTGACAATTTCTAATTCTTCTCCATTTCGGAACCGTCGACATCACAGGGAAATCAACCTCTATTTCAAAAGACTAATATTATAGTTGAAATAAAGTTTCAAACATTAATTGTTTTGACGGTGTAAAGTAGTTGGTGAGACATTATGAACAAATAGTAATGAAAACATCAGCGACATTAGGAGATTTATAAAATACCTCTCCAACCATCCTCAGCCCAAATTGTTGCAAACTGGTTGATGAAAATTATGAACATTATTAGGGGTTCAGGATCTTTGAAATTAAAGTGTCATTAATGTTGAGTTTGTGTAATTCTATAAACAAACAAGGGACTTGTACCATGGGTGTCATGGCATTTTTGTCAGTTCTTCATTATAGCATGGTATAGAACACTTAGACTCACCTAACAGGCAAGCAATTAATTGCAGAAACACCACTTAGACACATTATTTTAGGATAATGCTTTAGCAGAAGTAGATGCTGCACCATTGCAAGAAAAAACACAAAGACTTGAGTTGGATGTAAGGCCACAGGTTTATATACAGAAAAGTACAAGGACAGGAGAACACTTCTGGGCTGAGTGTCAACCCGAAGGTGCCTGGACAGAACAGCAAACGCGGCTCCGAGGGTACAAACCATACGGGGCCAAATGATGGGACCCCCCAGGGAAAAGCGCAGAGTGGGTCTGCTGTAGGCTCTACAACCACCATTATACAATAGGGCCTAGATGGTATGTCTCAAATACCCACAAAACACCAAAATCACTACTCCCAGCCCAAAAGCGTTCCGCGACGCATAAAAACCATTAGTCGTGCGATGTACATTGTAATGTGATCATGAAGAATATGCTAGTCAAGGATCTTCACCTGCTGTGCACATACAAACCCCTGTGATTTGTTCGACGCATGTTTATGCCAGGACAGCTCTTGCCTCGCATCAGTCTCATTAAGTCAGACCTTAGTTCTCGCTACCACTAAACAAAGATCTGAAGACATCCCATTAGGGGTCACGTCAGAACGACCTTTCATCCGACCAATCAGTGCGTCGCTTACCAGATCATGAAAGTGACAGTTGGAATGTGATTTCTAGTCATGCAATCTCGAAAACTTTAACATGGTGTATTCCGAACGATACTTACGGGTTAAACGACTGAATCCTTACAATCTAGATCATCTATTTGCCATTCCAGAATGGTTTTTTTGTTCAGGTTTCAAACTTGTATTCGAGAATTTGTCAAAATATGTTTCGAAGCTTAATCGCCAATTTGAAATTTGTGCCGTAAAGCACGAGAAAGCTGCCTTCTGATTGGTCATTCCATTGGTCGGTCAAAGTTCGCGCAAGGTCGGCCTGACGTGACCCGTAATGGGATGTCCTCAGATCTTTGTTTAGCGGAAGCAAGAACAAAGATCTGATTTTAATGAGATTGGCCTCGCAAAAACTGAATTGTCCAAAACTTGCCACAACTACGATATAAAGGAAAACAAGCAGCAGTATTAAACCAGGAAGAGAAGCTTTCCTTGCACTATTAAACCAGGAAGAGTAGCTTCCCTTTGACCGTGGAACACGAATGCAGGGTGAGAAAGACCCTTGAATTGGAATAATGTAAGATTACCAAAATAATGCATTTTATTATACTTAATAATTTTAAGTATACTTAATGAGCCGAAAAGTCCTTGTTTTTCCGATCATGCCGACCGCCAGGCAGGATTACAAGTGACGTCTTTTCAAGTCTCTTTGGAAGATGATCCTGTCACCGACCTTCCGGTCTCCGGGCAGACGCTCTATCCACTCGACCACGGAGGCGGGGATACTAAAGAGCAACTGACAAGTGTTTACAAATATTGATTTATTTGAAAGTTGATGAACATATACCTGTGTCAAGTCTATAACACGTTAGTGAAAGTAGAACATGGATATAACGAACTACAAGGGACCGGAGAAATCAGTTCGTTATATACGTTGTTCGTTATATACGTTTCGGCTCGGAAACGTCCGCCATCTTGGCTAAAACAAAACACGAGAACATACGTTTGTACACTTTGCCTCCCGCATCTACCGGTGATTCAGTTGAAAAGTACCCAATGACACAACTTCAAAAAATATTGATGCAATGGTCGGAAGAATTGTGTCTGAATTTATTATTTTATCAGAATAATACATTCCAATATCGTGTTATTTTACAGTTTTCACTATACATATTTAAAATTATAAGAACCATAAGCGTAGCTCTTTGGTATAGGTGATTGCTATTGACGGATATTTTTACGTATGGAACAATTTGCCTCAAATATGACTTTTAACTAGTCAAAGTATGGCATTTATGATATATGTATCTATTCTCTTGCAACTAAAGTTCATTTCAAGGCGTCAAAAGCGGTAAACTGACCGCGGTTGCTCAAATTACGGTGAGTTGAGCGATCTACGGATCACTTCACACACGGTTTCACCGAAATTAATGTAAACATTATTGAATGAAATTTGCCTGTTTAACAGACAAGATTAGTCGAATTACTTGGACAGATAAGATTAACATAATGCATGTTCAGCAAAGTTGATTCGTCACCAGTGATTATGCTGATTCATCTCGACTGTTTTGATTCATTCGCCTCTGATTGCGAACAGCCAATTGTCACTGACACTTGACACTGAGTGAGATTTCTCAGTTCGCTTTTCACGTCACTTATTAGCGGTAGATGGGATTGTGAGTGGTCAGATATCAGTTCGCTATATACGTTAGTTCGCTGAAGAGAGTTTGTTATGTACATAAATTATATATGATCATATAGAGGAGATAAATCGGGGATTTTTTAACAGTTCGTTGTATCGGTTTGTTCTCACTATCCGTTATATCCGTGTTCTTCTGTATATCAACTTCCGATAACGTCAATCTCAAGTGGGGGAAGTAACATCTTATTTCAAACATACATGTTACATCTTGTCAGTGATGAAAACGCATTTCATCACACATTCAAAGTGCACAGTGTCCAGGCTTGATCCAATACATTACTGAAATGGCGATCGATCCTCTTGTCCAGAACACTATGTCGGCACGTTATGTCTGGGAATTGTCAATTGCGATCTTGACTTCCTTTTTTCACCACCTTTTTTATCCCAGTGAAAGGAATACGACACATTTACATCTGACATCATCTAAAATAAAGTTTTTTGGTCAACTTGGAACTAACATCGGGGAATTGTCCTTGCCATTCCTCATAGCGGTTGACCACTTTCCTACCTTTGACTCGTCTCGTCACTACCGTCATGATATCTGCTAGATGATCGCTGTAAACATTCATTGAACAATTGATTAAATCATGGACTGCAGAAGGAACACCTGAATACCTGTAACAAGATGTTCTGATATCTAGATGTCACACTGAAACTAGTCCTTCGATCGTTGCAAAACATTTTCATCTAGCATTTCGCGATATGACTGCAATATTGCCGATGCGATGTAAAATTTTAACTCTCTTAACTCATCTAGCCTTTTTATCAAAGTGACATGATATGAAGTCTATATTCAGTATGTTTATACATAAAGCTTCAAATGATGGTACGGACTGTGAACAACCAGATAAGTGACAAGTAACTAGTAGTTTATAAGACCAATAATACACATAGGGTTATTGTAAAAAAAAGTGGACACAGTGGATATCTATAATCGGAATTTCGAATCGGCATATGTAGTGGCAAATATATGATGCTACTCAATGTTTTCTAACAAATATTAGATCATTTTACCTGCCCGACAGCTCAGTCATTACTTTTATAAATTCGTCAGTGAAAACATCTCCTGTCTCATTGTTTCGAATTGAACTTTCACCAGGTTGGGCAGCATAGCAGAAAAAGAAGTCTTCAATATCCTCAATATCGCCACAAGACTCATTACAGCTGACAGAAAAATCTGGAAAATGAATAAAATCAGGCAAAGATAACGCATTAGATTCAGTCACATTCAATCAGTAACATTTCACCAACAAGAGATATTTTATTTGCGTTTGGAAGGAATGTGTTTACCTACGATTCAGGTACATGAAGGAAGATACTCTCTCTAGGTTATCTATATGTACATTTAGATATACAGAAGGAACTGCGGTACAACTACTACTGATGCTCTAATAATGAGTTGTGAATTACTGAGGAAGATGACCCGTGAAGGGTAGAATAGGTCTTCAGCAACCCATGCTTGCCGTAAAAGGTGACTATGCTTGTCGTAAAAGGCGACTAACAGGATCGTGTGGTCAGGCTCGCTGACTTGGTTGATGCATGTCATCGATCCCAATTGCGCGGATCGATGTTCATGATATTAAGCACTGGATTGTCTGTCCAGACTCGATTATTTACAATCCGCCGTCATATAGCTGGAATATTGCTGAGTGCGGCGTTAAACAACAAACCATCCAACCAACGAACAACTGAGGAAGATAGACAGACTAAAATCTCGGTTGTTTAAATCAGAATTGGTTATTGTGATTCCAGACCTCTGATTCACAAATCATAATTGAGCATTTGCAAATTTCATGATAGATTCACGGTTTTATTTTTAACTCAAAACAGATATAATTACACGTGTGTGCAGAACGTGGACACTAAATACAAAACATGAGGTTGTAGAATATATTCAAATTCAGTTAAACTTTACCACTCATACATTGTGGGTGTGAGATTTTATGGATAGTTCATACTTACCATACTTCCTACATGCGTCAATGAAAAACAGCTTTGGTTTCCCTTTCAGATTGGGACACTTGTCAGGTCTAAATTGACGTGCAATGTCTTTGATACAAATCCTTTGGAGGTCTTTACTATATATTACCCCTTCTCTTCCATGTGAAGAAATAAAGACCACAAAACAGTCGGTGGCATTGTCGTCCATGTATTTGCCTGCATCTTCAAGTATCTTCTCTATTTCCTTCTTTGTGTTATCAGTGTATGACCAAACTTTAAACTTCAAGTCCTCAAATAATGTTTTCAGTTTCGCTGGAATTTAAAACATGGTATTATAAACATCATGTGAAAATAATCCATATAACATTAAACTTATATTCCAATATCTACTATCCTTAGTTGTTACTGAAAAACCTTGTCAATCATGACAAATAATCTTATGGTTAACAGCAATACATCAATGCTATCACACCTACCAAATCTATCACATCTATCACACCTTTTCAATGGAAATGTCCAGCAGAGAGGCAACAGTGAGATGTGTGTATGGGAAAGCCGAGTAATAACACATGACAAGGTACACAGTGATTAACACAAAGTCTATATGGGACATCAAACATGAGGTCATTTTCTAATCAAAGACTGCAAAGATTAAACAAATGTTCCGAACGTTTATACCCATATATACCCTATCTAATTATTGGTATAACAGTCATATAACCACAAACCATTTGCACCAGCTGCTGCATGTCTGTTGAAGCCTGTCTTGTCGAAATGTACAATGTTGAGGATGACACAAAGTCCTGAAACGTGTACACAGTGAGATGCTGCAAGTCTATATCTGATTGGGTTAATTGTCACGTAAAATTTTAGAACAACCACCTCAAGTAAGACCGGACTGTGGTCTAGGAAGGAAGGTTTCAAAGGTATTCTAAAGCATTTCAAATTCAACCAAAATGTATATCTGTATACGTCCTTATGCATGTATTCAAATGTACAAGAGCACCATTTGATTTGGGCGGAGGTCCCGCGAGACAAAGTAATCTGTTCCTGAAAATACTTAAACAATAATTTATCCTCGGGTTTAACAATAATATCGTTTTGTTTAATAGGCATTTTCTATTGTGTCTGCTTAACAATATTGCTCACTGGACATACTTGATTTTCTGAAGAATACCCCAAACACCCACAAATCGTGTGCCACCCGTGGGTCAGGATATGCGCACCTTTTTGCCAACGCCTGGTACCATCACAATTTGATGTTGATTTAAAAAAATATGCTCATGATGTAGTTGGAATAGTGCCATATGTTTTTAGAAGAGGCTTTTTTTATTATGGAAATAGCTTTATCACTATGATTGTACTTTCCAGAGGAATATACTGAAAACATTGACTGAAAAAATATCAGGTTTCAAATACAAATGCCAGCATGCCCTCCTACTTAATACTTATTATTAAAAAGTCTAACCCAGGGAATATATGATTCATTTACTTTTCATAAATCAATTACATCTCAGTACAAGTACCTCTTGGTTCAGACATCATTTCGTAGCAACGATCATCTGGAAAGAAAAGAGCTAGCTATGGATAAAAATGTTTGATCTTGCTCACGCATCATCATATGACATTTTTTAAGAATATCCCTAAGGCCAGTTAGGAATCAAGTATCTATATTTCCTTTACTTGGAAAAAAATGCTGCATTTGTCTTGGCAAAGCTACGACATTGAAAAGGAGCAATGTAGTTTTACCTGAATGCTTTATTGTCAGAGCCGACATTTCTGCTGCCAAAGGACTGCGTCTCTGCCATGTGATGATATCTTTCACTTTCTGTTTCATTCTCAGAGTGACAGGTTTTATCCAATCAAGGGCATCTTGAGATTTAAGACCATCTAAGGGCTTTAGTCTTTTGTCTGTACGTAGAGATCTCACGTAATCTTTATTTTCATGTATACGTATTTGTGCAATAGCTTCGTGTCGGGTAAATTCGGCAACTCTATCATTCGACATGTTGCATGTGTGGAGAAAGAGCACCAACCTGCATTTTGAAGCGATTACACCAGGTCTTTGTACCAGATCTGCACCAAAACATGGATGTGTGAAAAGTCTCACATCAACAGCAGTACCATCAGTTAAACAAAGTTGATTCATTTCTTCAAAAATTTCCTCAGCTAGATCCTCATCAGCCGTTTCATATACAAGTGCAGCATCAAAACTCTTACCAACTCTGTCTGTCCGTGAAGTCGTAGTTGTTACCTGTGTCGCCATGTTGGGAGCAATATCTGTGGTAGCCGTATCCCTATTTGCAACGATTTGTGTAGATGTGGCCTCAGGGGATGTGTTTGATGCAGCAAGTGACTCAAACGGCTCAGAATCTTCAATAAGGTCACAGATATTGTCGGCATCAAAACCTCCTCCTGCCATGCTTACTGCTCTGTAATGACAGTAAACCGGTTCGGTTACAAGTAGTGGAAATCACCCCTATCAAATCACTCTCTTGCCACCATCCCAATCCGACCCCAGTCCACCTCACCCCACCTTACCCCACCCCCATTCCCCACCCACCACCTTTCCTCATGACCGCACATTCCTTCTAGACTCAACAGTTTACTTTTCATATATGTCGCTATCTTCCCCTGGTCGTGAAGTAACTATGTTTTTACTTCATTTGTATTAATGTTAATGCGAGCCACAAGAACATTTAAAGATAAATGTGATGGTGATGACGCGGTCTAAAGTCTATGAAATAAAAGTTATCTTACAACTATTCACATGAGAAATCATGAGAATCTACTTCTGGAATCAAAAGATTCAAGCCATTTCTCTGACGTAAATAATGCTATGATTGACATATATTTTCTCTGTAGTTGACCTATAAGTGCGGCAGTTTGACGTGTTTAAAATGCAGGTTCAGAATGACCAGTGAGTTCCTGGCTCAGTATCAACTGCAAGAACAAAAGCATGACGTCATAATGAGATAGAGCAACAACAGTTCACCACCTACCAATATCTTGGGCTGGTTTGCCAAATATTATAACAACATATTGTTGTATAAATTGTTCTAATCAAAATACAAAACAATAAGCACTTTATTAGTTTGGGGGTTGTAAGTTTGCAATACCATTAACCACAAGACGTGCATTGCTGTGGCCCTTCTGTGCCCTTTGTCGGCGCTTCGACTGTGACGTTTTGGCTGTGTCAGTACAAAAGACAAAGGCGTGATACAGACAATATCGGTGGAAACGAAAATACCGATTGACTGCACAGTGCGAATATATATTAGCTAAATGCAGTCCAGGTGTGTATGCAAGGGAGACAACTGCGAAAGACTTATAGCACAAGATCATATGTGACTTTAATGTTCAGAGTTTTGTGTAATGACCAACCAGTATAATCCTTGATACAGATTGCACTTGCTCTGCTTCCTCGAACATCTGGTGCAGTTGTGCCATCAGACTAAGCCAGTATGGACTACATAGTCGAAAACGTGTTGTACATATCAAATATACTTCATTATTACGCCTGGCAACTTCCTTGTTTCGTTTTGATGTTGACATAATGGGGCGTGACGAAACATGTCGCAATATGCCACCGTGGTGTAATTCAGTGAAATTCTCTACACATATCACCATGAACACCTCTTCATGATTTGTAATATAAATGACAGAACAAGCAGATAATCATTCAACATAAATATACCAACAAAACAGAACATAAAAGGTTCTCACGTGTCCCCGGATAACTATCAACGTACAGTGTATACGTATAACTGCAGCACGGCTAACACCTCCCTCGTCGTCAGACTGCGCAGAAAGTAGGTCAAGCAGGTGTGCTATAATACTTCCTGTTCAGTGTGAGCTGTGGCGACGGGTAAGGGTATCAGCCAATGAACGGCACTAGTGATGCAGTATAGATAACTGCTGTCTTATCATGACAACAAACAACAAACTGCAATGCATTTCCGTATTATTTTCACATATATGATTATTAATATTTCGTAAATTATTTCTTAGTTATAGAAATCCTTACAAAATCACTAACTCAACCTTTAGGGACGAGCTATTCTGACAGTTTTCTCAACAGTGAAATTTCTTTTAATGCACATGATAATGTCTACGACTCACTAATATGCTCAAATGTGTGTGTGTACTCGTTACATGTCCCATACACTGTATAGTTAGTTCAAGTAATTGTATTTTCTAAATTTTCTATTACAAATTCACTAGTACTGTTACGATTGTTCACTGACAAACTATTGATTATCCTGCTGTGCGAACGTGCACAGCAGATAGTTAGTGCAAATCATTGAATCGGAAGGCCAACAATGAGGGCAGCACCATCAAACAATACGTTTAATGAGACCATAATGTATACTTTGCGCGCGCGTGTGTGTGTGTGTGTGTGTGTCCGTGTGTGCGTGTGTGTGTGTGTGTGTGTCCATGTGTGTGTATAGCTATGTTACTAGGCATCCTTATATAGTTTTAGGTATTTATAGGTTTCTGCAATATGCAAAGTATGTGTGGCGGAAAGCACTATGAATTGGCGCAAGTCTATACGACTTTGACGTCATACCTCGACGTGTACCATATGTGCCCATGTTTGTTCAGTTGACCAATATGCTTGCCTTTGCGTGCGTTTGGGACGGTGCCACGGCGAGACAGGATAAGCTTACATTTTTGTGAACACCTGGTATCGTCACTAATTGATAGTGATTGCTGACCACATGCTTGTGATTGAATCGGAATCGTAAAATTCATTCAGCAGAGATTTATTTTATCTATGGTAATTGTTTTGTCGCTTGTATTTGTTGAATAATATGATGGGACTGGGATTGGATTGATCGTGTCAGGTGTATGAGAGAATAACGATGACAATGGACGATGACGATGATAATGCTTATTATCTTACCAAGCTCTTACAACACTAATACTGATATGCATCGCGTGATGTTTCTGGCTGCGTCAGTGTCTACTCCAGCACATTGGCTACATTGTGTGTGTGCAGCTTAAATGACCACCATATAAAATGAAAACCTCCTGCAAACCCAGTTCCTCAGGAATCGCTGCGTTCTTGTAAAACGAGAGTGAAATCGTTATCTCTGCATATGCCACGATACCTGGCACGCTTTCAAAACATTCACAACGCACTCCCCTCAAAGCTAATCCAGAGTTGTTGAGCTCAAACTAAATATCCATCTGGGAATCTGTCTAACTAGGCCCGCAAACATAAATGCCTGTGAATATCACGAAATAACACTCAGACACAAACTGTATATATCATACACACGCCCCCGTTACACTCAGACATAGCCTGTACATATCATACACACGCCCCCGTTACACTCAGACACAGTCTGTATAGATCATACGCAGCCCCCTGTTACACTCAGACATAAACTGTATATATCATATACACGCCCCTGTTACACTCAGACACAGTCTGTATATATCATACGCAACCCCTCTTTACACTCAGACACAGTCTGTATATATGATACACATGTCCCCGTTACACTCAGACACAGTCTGTATACATGTATGTCATAAACGCTCCCCCTTTACACTCAGACACAGTCTGTATATATCATACACACGCCCCCGTTACACTCAGACATAGCCTGTACATATCATACACACGCCCCCGTTACACTCAGACACAGTCTGTATAGATCATACGCAGCCCCCTGTTACACTCAGACATAAACTGTATATATCATATACACGCCCCTGTTACACTCAGACACAGTCTGTATATATCATACGCAACCCCTCTTTACACTCAGACACAGTCTGTATATATGATACACATGTCCCCGTTACACTCAGACACAGTCTGTATACATGTATGTCATACACGCTCCCCCTTTACACTCAGACACAGTCTGTATATATCATACACATGCCCCTGTTACACTCAGACATAGCCTGTACATATCATACACACGCCCCCGTTACACTCAGACACAGTCTGTATATATCATACGCAACCCCCTGTTACACTCAGACATAAACTGTATATATCATACACACGCCCCTGTTACACTCAGACACAAACTGTTTATATCATACACACGCCCTCTTTACACTCAGACATAGCTTGTATATAGCATACACACGCCCCCATTACACTCAGACACAATGAGAGAATTTATCATACACACACCTATGTTACACTCAGACACAAACTGTTTATATCATACACACGGCCCCGTTACACTCAGACACAGTCTGTATATATCACAAACACGCCCCTGTTACACTCAGACACAGCCTGTAATTATCATACACATGCCCCTGTTACACTCAGACACAGTCTGTATATATCATACACACGTCCCCGTTACACTCAGACACGGCATGTATATATCATACACACGACTCAGTTACACTCAGACATAGTCTGTATATATCAAAAACACTCCCCCGTTACACTCAGACACAGCCTGTATCGCCCCTTTACACTCAGACACAGTCTGTATGTATCATACACACGCCCCTGTTACACTCAGACACAGTCTGTATATATCATACACACGACTCCGTTACACTCAGACAGTCTGTATATATCATACACACGCCCCCGTTACACTGAGACACAACCTGTATACTGAGTATATGATACACAGCCTGGATATATGATACACACGCCCCTGTTACACTCAGACACAAACTGTATATATCATACACACGCCCCCGTTACACACACACACACACGAACTTCTATTGTAATTTAAGGCAACATTTAGCTTGTCTATGCATCACGGCCCCTCGTCCATAGAAACACAAAGCCGGGTTAGTGATGTGAGACATTTTCATCTGGCTGGTTGAAGAGTTTTTGTTAGTCCGTAAATACGCTCTCATATAATATCCGTGAGAGAGAGGGGGCTTTCCTTCCATGTGCGAACTTTGTGATAACTCGACAGGATGTCACATCGATAGCAAATACATACTCACTGTATTCGTGTCTGCCTACATAGTCTTTGTTTATAAGTTATATAAAATTACTAAAATTAGAAAAAACATCACTTTTTCAAACCGAAAGGAAAACGAGTTGGTGGTTTACACGAGTATTGAAACGAAAGTGAAACAAGTAGATTCGAGGTCTCATCTTTTCGAGGTCTGCAGGAAGAGGAGGAGGAGGTCCGAAAACAAGGTGAGTAGTGGAATAAGGCTTGATGGGACAGAACAGGAGAGGCAGCATAGACTGGTGTGAATGAGAGGAGCAGCACAGAGAGGAGTGAATGAGAGATGTTGTGTACTGTATAGTGAATGAGGGGGGCAGTACAGAATGGAGTGAAATGGAGGGCAGCACAGACTGGAGCGGAGTACATGTAATGACAGTAGAGAGGGAATGTATGAGAGGGGCAGCACAATGGAGTAAACGAAAGGGGCAGAGTAGACTGGATTGGAGTGAAGGGCATCGCAGGTTTCAGTAAATCAGAGAGGGAGCATAGATCGAAGTGAATGAGGAAGGCAGCACATACTTTAGTAAATGAGAGAGACAACACAGAATAGTGAATAAGAGAGGCTCGACAGACTGGATTGAATGAGAGGGGCAGCACAGATTGAAGTGAATAAGAGAGGCAGCACAGGCTGTAGTGAATGAGAGAGGCAGCATAGGCTGTAGTGAATGAGAGAGGCAGCACAGATTGTGGTGAATAAGAGAGGCAGCAGAGATTGTAGTGAATAGGAGAGGCAGCACAGACTGGATTGAATGAGAGGGGCAGAACAGATTCAAGTGAATAGGAGAGGCAGCACAGGCTGTAGTGAATGAGAGGGGCAGCACAGGCTGTTGTGAATGAGAGAGGCAGCACAGACTGTAGTGAATTATAGAAGCAATAGGCTGTAGTAAATGAGAGAGGCAGCACAGTGTTATGTGAATGTGAGAGGCAGCACAGACTAAAGTGAATGAGAGAGGCAGCACAGGCTGTTGTGAATGAGAGAGGCAGCACAGGCTGTAGTGAATGAGAGAGGCAGCACAGTTTTATGTGAATTAGAGCGGCAGCACAGACTGAAGTGAATGAGAGAGGAAGCACCGACTGAAGTAAATAAGAGAGGAAGCACAGACTGAAGTGAATGAGGGAGGAAACAGACTGAAGTGAATGAGAGAAGAAGCACAGACTGAAGTGAATGAGAGAGGAAGCACAGACTGGAGTGAATGAGAGAGGCAGCAGAGGCTGTAGTGAATGACAGAGGCAGCACAGGCTGTAGTGAATGAGAGAGGCAGCACAGTTTTATGTGAATTAGAGCGGCAGCAAAGACTGAAGTGAATGAGAGGGGCAGCACAGACTGTACTGAATGGGAGTGGCAGCACAGACTGTAGTGAATGAGAGAGGCAGCACAGTTTTATGTGAATTAGAGCGGCAGCAAACACTGAAGTGAATGAGAGGGGCAGCACAGACCGTACTGAATGAGAGAGGCAGCACAGACTGTAGTGAATTATAGAAGCAATAGGCTGTAGTAAATGAGAGAGGCAGCACAGTGTTATGTGAATGTGAGAGGCAGCACAGACTAAAGTGAATGAGAGAGGCAGCACAGGCTGTTGTGAATGACAGAGGCAGCACAGGCTGTAGTGAATGAGAGAGGCAGCACAGTTTTATGTGAATTAGAGCGGCAGCAAAGACTGAAGTGAATGAGAGGGGCAGCACAGACTGTACTGAATGGGAGTGGCAGCACAGACTGTAGTGAATGAGAGGGGCAGCACAGATTGGAGTGAATAGGAGAGGCAGCACAGGCTGTTGTGAATGAGAGAGGCAGCACAGACTGTAGTGAATTATAGAAGCAATAGGCTGTAGTAAATGAGAGAGGCAGCACAGTTTTGAGTGAATGAGAGAGGCAGCACAGACCTGAGTGAATGAGAGGGGCAGCACAGGCTGTTGTGAATGACAGAGGCAGCACAGGCTGTAGTGAATGGGAGAGGCAGCACAGTTTTATGTGAATTAGAGCGGCAGCACAGACTGAAGTGAATGAGAGAGGAAGCACAGACTGAAGTGAATAAGAGAGGAAGCACAGACTGAAGTGAATGAGAGCTGAAACAGACTGAAGTGAATGAGAGAAGAAGCACAGACTGGAGTGAATGAGAGAGGCAGCACAGGCTGTAGTGAATGACAGAGGTAGCACAGGCTGTAGTGAATGAGAGAGGCAGCACAGTTTTATGTGAATTAGAGCGGCAGCACAGACTGAAGTGAATGAGAGGGGCAGCACAGACTGTACTGAATGGGAGTGGCAGCACAGACTGTAGTGAATGAGAGGGGCAGCACAGATTGGAGTGAATGAGAGAGGCAGCACAGATTGAAGTGAATAGGAGAGGCAGCACAGGCTGTAGTGAATGGGAGGGGCAGCACAAACTTGATTGAATTAGAGCGGCAGCACAGATTGCATTGAATGAAAGCGGCAGCACAGGCTGTAGTGAATTATAGAAGCAATAGGTTGTAGTGAATGAGAAGGGCATCACAGATTGTGGTGAATAAGAGAGGCAGCACAGGCTGTAGTGAATTATAGAAGCAATAGGTTGTAGTGAATGAGAGAGGCAGCACAGTTTTATGTGAATTAGAGCGGCAGCACAGACTGAAGTGAATGAGAGAGGCAGCACAGACTGGAGTGAATGAGAGAGGAAGCACAGACTGAAGTGAATGAGAGATGCAGCACAGATTGGAGTGAATGAGAGAGGCAGCACAGACCTGCGTGAATGAGAGGGGCAGCACAGGCTGTATTGAATGAGAGAGGCAGCACAGATTGTGGTGAATAAGAGAGGCAGCAGAGATTGTAGTGAATAGGAGAGGCAGCACAGACTGAATTGCATGAGAGGGGCAGCACAGATTGAAGTGAATAAGAGAGGCAGCACAGGCTGTAGTGAATGAGAGAGGCAGCACAGATTGTGGTGAATAAGAGAGGCAGCAGAGATTGTAGTGAATAGGAGAGGCAGCACAGACTGGATTGAATGAGAGGGGCAGCACAGGCTGTTGTGAATCAGAGAGTGAGTGAGTGAGTTAAGATTTAACGTCACATCGGCAGTATTTCAGCCATATCGTGACGAGAAGTACATTAATAATACATAAATGTATACAACATAAAAAGCTGTCAACGATGGACAGTTAAATTACTAGAATATCACAGATTAATATTTAAAACTAGCATACAACTATAAAAGATATCACTATATATAACGGTACAATATAAAAAAGGGCTATAGATCGCCAGCAGCTGAAGGTAGATCACCATGCTAGGGTCCATGGGGACTTACAGTACTTTTGCTACCTGCATGGACCCCAGCCGGATTTACATCATCCCTTCCGCTGTTGGCGATTAATGACAAAACTAGCCAGAATAAATGAACATATATACTACGTCTAAAAACGAGCAGAAATAAACATACTTTGAAAGACGTGGTCTTACATACCCTCTCAGGGGGACAATAATTTTACACTACTTTAACCCCCTTCGAGGATATAGCCACTAACGATCTCAGTTACTGAATAATTCTACCAATTATAAAAGTTATTTATTTAATTACAAACTATAACATTCAAAATTTGTGCAGTAATTCGATTTCCTTTAAAAAACCAATAATTAAATGACTACTTACCTGATAAAAAAGATCCTTGATACATGATACCTTGAAATATTTATCCCTTGTGATGGAAAAATCAATGCAGTCAAGCAGGACATGCTTGACCGTGATTCTTTCATCACAAGGGACGCAGAATGGAGGATCTTCACCTTTTAAAATATATTCATGAGTATAACGTGAATGGCCAATACGACATCGTCTTAAAATGACCTCTTCAAATCTGGACTGACAACCCAAGTAGGTATAACCGATATTCGCTTTTATTGCATGTAATTTATTTATACCAACTTGGGTGTCCCACTTCTTCTGCATTAGATCTCTGATGTAAGATCTAATGACAGGTTTATAATCACTGTATGGTAAAAGAAGTGGTGTCACAGATTTGTCGAGTGCTGCTTTTGCGGCAGCATCAGCCAGTGTGTTACCAACAATCCCAACATGGCTTGGTAACCAACAAAAAACGATGTCATATTGGCCAGTCGCAAGATCATTAAATAACTCAAGAATTTCAATTAAAAATGGATGTTTACATGACATATTTTTAATAGCCTGAAGGCACGAAAGTGAATCTGAAAAAATAATGAAGTCTTTATATTTTGATTTCTTCTTGATATATTGTAGTGCTGTTAAAATTGCGTGCGCTTCTGCTGTGAATATGGAACTATTATCGGGTAAACGTGAAGATACTGTTTTGGATCCAATGACGGTGGCACTAGCAACTGCGCCACCATCCTTGGATCCATCTGTAAATATAGATTTATATGTGTCATAAGTGTGTCGTAATTGATTGTATTCTTGTTTATAAATAAGTGGATTTGTATCAGATTTCTTAAGTTTTGTTAATGTGAGGTCTACAGTTGGTCTTACCATCTGCCAAGGTGGTGATGAAAAAAGTTTTGTGGGAGCTATATCCTGAAAGGTAATGTTCGCAGCAGAAACGACTGATTTAATTCTTATTCCTAGTGGTGGAACAAGAGATGTTTTCTTATTGTAAATATCTTCGTAAAGAGGATTAAATACGCAATTAAAGGCTGGATTTGACTGATTAGAATATAATTTAGTGATGTATTGTAATGATAGTTTCAGACGTCGTTGTTTAAGAGAAGGCTCATCCGCCTCAACAGACAGACTTGGAATAGGAGAAGTGCGAAAGGCTCCAAGGCAAAGCCTCAGTCCTTGGTGATGGATAGTATCAAGTTTTTTTAAATTACTTTTACAGGCTCCACCATAGACGATGGAGCCGTAATCAAGTTTTGAACGGATCAGTGACCTGTATAAGTGTAGGAGGGTTGTCTGATCCCCTCCCCACTTGGAATTGGATACAACTTTCAATAAATCAAGCGCCTTCAGGCATTTAGCTTTAAGTGATTGAATGTGTGGTAAGAAAGTTAAATGGCTATCAAAGATGAGTCCCAAGAATTTGGCCTCCTTTACAACTTTGATAGGGGTGCCATTCAAAAATAATTCAGGGTCTTTATGCGGCTTATATTTTCTGCAGAAGTGTATACAGTTAGTTTTAGACATAGAAAATTTGAACCCGTTTTCTAGAGACCACTTATGAATTTTATTGAGACAGATTTGTAACTGCCTCTCTATGGTATGCATATTTTTACCACAACAAGATGCATTAAAATCATCCACGAACAGTGATCCATCCACTGAATTACTTAAAACCTTGGACAGACTATTAATTTTAATACTAAACAAGGTGACAGACAAAATACTGCCTTGTGGGACACCCTGATCCTGATTATAATGATCAGACAGGGTTGTACCCACTCGGACTTGAAATTGCCTGTCTGTTAAAAACTGGGATATAAAATGAGGCAGACGGCCTCTTAATCCAAAATCATGAAGATCTTTTAAAATACCATGTTTCCATGTTGTATCGTAAGCTTTTTCTAAATCGAAAAAGATCGATACAGCATGTTGTCTATTTACAATGGAATTTTTAATGAACGATTCTAAACGCACTAAATGATCGATAGTACTTCTGTTCTTCCGGAAACCACACTGTATATTGGTAAGAAGATTATTTGTTTCCAAGTACCACACTAATCGATTATTTACCATGCGTTCCATCGTTTTACAAACACAGCTAGTTAGTGAGATAGGTCTGTAACTTGATGGATCAGAATGATCCCGCCCAGGTTTGGGTATTGGTATAACAATGGCATTATGCCATGAAGGTGGAAACGTCCCAGATGTCCAAATATCATCGAATATATTTAACATAGTTTCAAGGCATGATTCGGGCAAGTGTTTCAGCAGCTGATAATGAATATTATCAGCGCCTGCTGCTGTATCATGAGCTTGCCCTAAGGCAGTATAAAGCTCATGTAGTGAAAATACCTCATTGTAATCTTCACCATTATCAGATGTAAAATTTACTTTTTTCTTCTCCTGTTGGAGCTGATATTTTTGAAATTCAGGAGCGTAATTAGTTGAAGAAGAATGATGAGATAAAGTTTCACCAATGCTATTGGCAATGGCAGATTTATCAGTTAACAAAGTATCGCCATCCTTCAGATGGTTAACTGTAGAATTTGATCCCTTGCCTTTGATCTTTTTGATCATGTTCCATACCTTGGACATAGGGGTACGGGAGTTAATTTTGGAGACATAAGTCTGCCAGGATTGACGTTTATTTTGTTTGAATAGACGTCTCGCCTTAGCATTTGAAATTTTGACGATGTTCAAGTTATGGACAGTGGGATGTTTACGGAAATATTTCTCCGCCTTCTTACGACATTTCCTAGCGTGTTTGCAAGTGTCATCAAACCACGGTTTACGAACACGTGGGTTGATCGAGGACTTAGGTATTGATTCATCAGCAATTTCATTCAGTAGATCTGAGAACAACTGAATCGGGTCAGTAACATTCTGAAAAGACGTAGGTAGTAATTTATCTTTGCATAAAGATTGAAATAAAAGCCAATCAGCCTTCACAAAATTCCATCGAGGTGAAGGTGGATCATCAGCGGGATTAATTGGTTTAAGCACCGTGGGGAAATGGTCACTCCCACATAGGTCATCATGGACGGACCATGAGAATTCATTCAACAAAACTGAATCCGTCAAAGACAGATCTAATGATGAATACGTACCAGTTGCAGGGTGTAAGTAGGTGTCCGAGTCATCGTTAAAGATGCAGAGGTCATTATCAGAAACAAAATCCTCAATGACTTTACCCTTTTGATTAATGATAGAACCTCCCCATAAAGGATTATGACCATTTAGATCACCCATGATGAGACAGGGCTTTGGGAGCTGGTCGTACAGTTTTTGTAGATCATTACGCTGAAGATTTGAAGATGGAGGAATGTATAAGGAGCAAAGTGTGAAGGCAATATGCAGTGTAAGTCTAACTGCAACTGCTTGCAAATTCGTGTCAAGCGGAACAGGACTGTGAACAACGCCCCGCCGCACCAACATAGAAGCACCTCCAGTAGCTTTATCTCCCGGAGGAGAAAAAGAATGATAGGAACTATACTGCCTTAATTCAAATTTATCTGTATTTTTTAAGTACGTCTCTTGTAAAGAAATTGCTGATGGACGTAAATCTGTTGTTAATAATTGCAGCTCGTTAAAATTATGCCTAAGTCCTCTGCAATTCCATTGAAAAATATTTGAATGGTTCATGGCGGTTCTATAGGAGAACGCTCACGTGAACGTACAGAAGAGTCATCACTCATAGTAGATGGAGTAACATCCATATCGAGAGGATCAAAGAAATTCTGAACATCAACAGATGTTTCAGTGACAGTAGGGATCTTAGTAGTAATTTTCTTGTTTTGTTTCTTCTTTTGTATTTTGGGCATTTCAGTCGATGGTTTGTTAGTTGCTGCTAATTCAGGAGTCGGTTTAGGTTGGGCCATAGTCTGAGTCACAACCTGAGATGCTGGAGAGATGCCACAAGATTGAGTATCTGAATCATCTGTCTGACTCTCTGATGTTGTAACCACAGGCACAGGGTGTTCAGAGTGTGCCCATGTCAAGTCAGTTTGACATTCTATTGATCTTGTGGTAGAAGGTCGAGAGACAGCAGCAGCATAAGTGTGTACTGATGGAGGTGACCGGCTGGCAATGACTTTTTTTGCTTCCTGAAAAGAAATGTTGTTTTGACATTTGACTGTCAAGATATCTTTCTCATGTTGCCAAAGAGGACATGATTTTGAAGATGCAACATGTTTACCCTTACAATTCACACATTTGGGGTCAGCTGTACAATCTGAGGCGTCATGATTTGCACCACAACGGTGACAAACAATCGGCCGATCGCATGATTTGGAACCGTGTCCAAACTTCTGACACTTGTAACATCGGAGTGGATTGGGGACATACACCTCCACTCCGATGTTGAAATATCCTGCCTTTATAGATTGTGGTATGGTCGACAGTGAAAAGGTGAACAAATAAGTATTTGTTGGGACAATGTTATCTCCATCCTTTCTAGTGAAACGTTTCACAGACGTGACATGTTGATCATTGAGTTCATCAAGAATTTCCTCTTCTGTCATTTCTGCCAGACAACGGGCTCTGTCGCGGATGATGCCTCGACTTGAGTTTAACGTTCTGTGCGCAGAGACAGCAACTTCAGTGTTTGCGAATGTAGTACATTTCAAAAGATTGATAGCTTGCTGTCTCCGTGCACACTCTACCAAAAGAGAACCGCTCCGGAGGCGTGAAACATTCTTGACGTCACCACAAATACCTGCAATGGCTTTAGAGATAGCAAACGGATTAATTTTCAAGGGTAGTTGATTTCGCGATTCAACAACTATAAAACGTGCCCAAGAATTAGAATTTTGTGAAATCGAGACATCATCATCAGTTGATAAAATCTCAGCTTCGAGTCGTCTCTTCTTTTCATTGCGGTTGGAACCAGAATGATTGTGAGCCATGATGAAAGTAATTTATTCAGCACCCCTGCTCCCCACCCACCATGGAGTGCTACACAGAGCGATGTTTTCCTGCACCGGATCTCCAACATGCAAACATCAGGGATACAGAGGTGGTATACTCCAGTAAAAACAACATGAATAGCTGCATTTGTCTAACAAATAAAATGCCAGGCTGGTCCGGCCCATGACAAGAAATTGAAGACATACAGAACACAGAGGTCGAAAGTACCAGATTGGCCCATGAGCCACCGCCTTCTGGCGTAAGACTCTAGGCAATTTATACAATCCAAAATTGAGAATATACACAAGGTATGCATGGCCAAGACCAAAATATACATTACAATACAACACATGTGTGCATATACAATATTACGCACAGGGCCTGGCATGACCAGCCGATTGATAAGACCGGGCCCATCTTACCACCCGTCTAGGCGAAGTAAGGGTCGAAGTAGTGTGTTGGACAAAGGAACACAGTTCCAGGAACCAGTGCCCTCAACTACCAGACTCCCGTCCTCCGCCGACACAGGGACGCAACCCACGGCAAACGGGCTGCCCACTTTGGTCGCCTCTTACGACCAGCAATGGGGTGCTGTGGAAATATTCTACCCCGGTTCCACACGGGGGAAGAGCGATTAGCGTTACCCAGCACTCACCACGAGGAGGTTGCTCTTCACGAGTGCCGTGAATGAGAGAGGCTGCACAGACTGAAGTGAATGAGAGAGGCAGCACAGACTTGAGTGAATGAGAGAGGCAGCACAGACTGTAGTGAATGAGAGGGGTAGCACAGATTGTAGTGAATGAGAGAGGCAGCACAGATTGGATTGAATGAGAGGGGCAACTCAGACTGGAGTGAATGAGAGAGGTAGCACAGACTGGAGTGAATGAGAGAGGTAGCACAGACTGGACTTAATGCGGGGGCAGCACATTCTTGAGTGAATGAGAGGGGCAGCTCAGACTGGAGTGAATGAGAGGGGTAGTCCAGAAAGATCTTAATGACGCAGGCCGAGTGGAGTGAGGGGCAGTTCACTGTAGTATATTAATGGTCGAAATATAAATTGCATTCCCTAGACTATTGACTTATGTGCTACTTCAGGGGTTCACACTATTTCTGTCAAATATGTTTCAGTAATACAAAGAATGTCATCCCTACTTATTCCCGAAGAACAAGAAATGTTTCAATCCGAATCTGACACAAGGTATGTTTTCCACATTCAACACATGGTGATTTAAGTTTGCTAGAGATGTACATGTCTTCATTCCCGCTGCTTGTACCTTAATCGTCCTTTAATTTGACGCCTCATTTCAGATGTACTCAGATCATGGTGTGAGTACTACAATATCAATCATGTATAGACACTGTACTGTATTAAACTGTGTGTAATACATTAAGTGATATACAGAAAACTTGATATTATTTGATAAGTCACAAGAAGTTTAAAAGAAAGATAATTGTTGGAAGAGTTCAAAAACTGAAATATAAAATCTTCACTGCACATTAATGCTTTAATGAATATTTCTAAGCAAGAAAATTAAAAAAAATAAAACATAATAACTGTAGTCTTCTTAGAATGAAAACGTTTGGAGTTTCTTTGTCTTTCTCTGTCTCAGTTACTAAAACAGACCTGTCATTACATGGAATACAATTTTACCAATGCTGTTCTTGAAATATGGACATATCTCAGAATTAAAACAGTCACGCCAATGTATGTTTCTAGACTCGGGAAATGTTACTAAAGAAGAGTTACGTATGATAATGTTTTGTATCTCTCACATTATCGATTCCAAACATGTACACATATATATTGTATATTGATATCAATGTGATCATGATGTTCTGAAAATAATAGCGTCTGTCCAGCTATTCACATTTCGAACAAGATCCACCCCTGTCTGGGTATGATGGCACGCAATAAAGTTTCAGCGCTTTACCACTCGATCCAACGTGACATTTACGACAGCATAGGTTAATTGGGACCGATTCCAACCCAGAATCCAACGGTGGACTTATACCTCTAACCTTCTGAAACGCACTTTTTATAATCGCTTTGTAAAAACTGAAATGTCACTTCATACAGCTAAAACGGAGACATCGTTGAACCATTACCTTACAAGCTGATCTTAAGAAGGAAATTTATATTATGATGTTGTCATTGTTGGAGTAAATCATCGTCTTCAAACACCATTAGGCCATACAATAATCAGTGAATGTGAATATGCTGCAGACTGAGAATGATATACTGAATCAAGCGACTCCAAAGCCACTGTATGGACTAGCTGTCAGTATGTTTGTTTTGTTTGTTTGTTGATTAACGCCGCACTCAGCAATATTCAAGCTATATGTCGGCGGTCTGTAAATAAACGAGTCTGGACCAAACAATCCAGAGATTAATATCACGAGCATCGACTTACGCAATTGGGATCGATGACATGTATCAACCAAGTCAGCGAGCCTGACCACCCGATCCCGTTAGTCGCCTTTTACGACAATCATAGTCGCCTTTTACGGAAAGCATGGGTTGCTGAAGACCTATTCTACCTCGGATCTTCACGGGTCTGTCAGTAGGTAGCATTACTGCGACTGTTATTTAAACATTTGACAATAATCATCATTTCATGTTGTCTCTGGCTACCTTTATGTTTAAAATTGCGGTTACAATAGGTCTTCAGAAACCCATGCTTGTCGTAAGAGACGACTAACGGGATTTGTGGTCAGGCACGCTGACTTGGTTGATGCATGTCATCGTATCCAAACTGCGTAGGTCGATGCTCATGATGTCATTCACTGAATTGTCTGGTCCAGACTCGATTATTTACAGACCACCGTTATATAGCTGGGATATAGCTGCATGCTACTTTAAAAAACAAAAAAAACATTCACAAATCCCTAATGGTCACTTTTTTACCTGCTTTAGAAATTTAATTTCATTGCGCAGCATTGAGATCAATTTATATTTAACGAGACATGGAGTATCTGTATATTTCATATGTCGAAAAACACACATTGCATTATTTATCAGTTCTTTTCAACTAGGATATGTTTCGATACTTGGTAGGGGAAATAAACAAAATTCAGGCAATATCTTTTTTTAATCTGAAGAAAGTCAAACCGAAAGCATGTAGTTGTATATAACATGATGTGCGGAAGACTATACAAAAGACTAATGAATTCAAGTTCTGATATTAAACTTTACTTCTTCTAGTTTCCAACTGAGAAATAATACGATTTATCAATTTTACAAGGCCATTTTAATACTTCGAATACAAGTAAGTGGTAATTGTTCATTTACCCTTGTTTTTTTTCAGTAACCATGTTATCTATATATGGATGCCCGTTGGAGTCAGTCAGGTCGGACATGCATCGTTGTGCTGAGTAACGGTGTATACGTAAGCTGGTGGCCACAAGATAAGAAATCAAAATGTGGGTTTAAGAAGAAAGAAAATAAATGCAATAGTAGCCTGCAGGGAGACATCAAAGAAGAGGGCATGGATCCTGACTACACGTTTAAGATACCCTCCACAAAGTTAGACCTGACTGACTGATATGACAACCTTTTGGAATAAACAAAAAAGCACGGGTCACTATTCCTTACTGAAACAAAACTGTTGCTGGGTTGTGTACCGCGTCCTCCGTGCAGGCAGATCCCCAATGAGTCAAACAATTCTTTGGAGACCAGAAACTTTACGGAGGTATCTGGTCATTTACCTGGGTGGTGGATCAGGATTTTTTACTTTTTTTAACATGCCAGATTGGGATTTACGTTTCAAAGGTAAATGTAACAACCATATATTATGTCTTATATAATATCGACACATCGTCAGCAAAGATTCAAAAACAAGACATACCTGTATTTATGAACTAATGTGCGTTCCATGTTCAATATCTTAATCTTCCTGGTACCTGAAAGTCCAAACAAAATGAACGATTTAACAGAGTAAACGATGACTCAGGTTTTTTACTGTAGCACCTCTTGGGGTGTCAAGTGCGAGTGAGTGAGTTAAAATTTAACGTCGCATCGGCATTATTTCAGCCATATAGCGACGAGACCAAGCTAATGTATACACAATTTAGTTATTTAAGCAATGTCATATTAAAAAACAATTGATGACAATTGATGGACAGAGCCTTTAATAATGTCAGTTGCTTATAGCATCACATCAAATTTAAAAACAAGCATTTAATTATTCACATACATATTTAAAATTTATTATGCAGACCAATTTCTTTCAAGTTATTTATGATGAGATGCCCGCTGACACGGGAACAGAGATCTTTTAGATTTACACTTTGATAATGTGAATCCCTTGCGATTGCAAAGTCCACACAGTCAAGCAATATATGCTTGACGGTGAACCTTTCATCACAAGGGACACACTTAGGAGGTTCGTCCTCATCTGTCTTAAGCAGATATTCGTGTGTAAACCGACTGTGGCCAATACGACACCGTCGTAAAACGACCTCTCGTCATGTCTTGACTGACAACCCAAGGTATGACCGATTGTTGGTTTCAATTCGTGTAGTTTATTGCTTCCTACTTGGGTGTCCCACCTCTTTTGCATGAGATCCCGAGTATAAGATTTGATGGTTGGTTTGAAATCACTGTACGGGATAAAGAGTGGAGACAACGGTTTGTCAAGAGCTGCTTTAGCTGCAGTATCGGCTTTTGAGTTACCTGTTATGCCTACATGACTTGGTAACCAGCAAAAGACGATGTCACATTGGCCAGTAGAAAGATCATTATAGAATTCTAAAATGTCAAGGATTATAGGATGATTTGAGGAGATACTTTTAAGTGCCTGAAGGCATGATATTGAATCGGAGAAAATGATGATTTTTTTTTATTGGTTTTGATGTTTGATATAGGTCAAAGCTGTGAAGAAAGCTTTGGCCTCAGCAGTAAAAATTGAACTGGTGTCTGGTATTCTTGAGGGAGACAGTTCTGGATCCAATGACGGTGGCACTTGCAACTTTGCCACCATCCTTGGACCCGTCTGTAAAAATGGACCTGTTAGAATTATATTTGGAGCGTAATTGGTTATATGATTGTTGATATACCAAAGGATTGGTATCCGGCTTTTTTAGATTGGTTAGAGTGAGGTCTGCTTCTGGCTTCACCATCTGCCAGGGAGGAGAAGACAGAAGACGGTGAGGTGAAATAATATTTAAATCCATGTTAGCTGTAGTGATGTGTGGTTAAATTTTGATTCCAAGTGGTGGAACCAGGTTTGATAGATTTTGAAACAGGTTTTCATAATGAGGGTGGAACACACAATTGTATGCTGGATAAGATTTATCTGAGTGCAATTTAGTGATATATTGCAGTGAAAGTTTAATGCGGCGCAGTTCGAGTGAAGGTTCACCGGCCTCCACATACAAACTGTCCAAGGGAGAGGTCCAGAAAGCTCAGAAAGAAAGAGTAATAGGCCTTGGTGGTGTACAGTGTCCAATTTTTCTAAATTGCTTTTGCAGGCTCCACCATAGACAATGGAACCATAGTCCAGTTTGGAGCGTATTAACTCTCTGTACACGTGAAGGAGGGTGGTCTGATCCCCTCCTCACTCGGAATTTGAAATGACTTTTAACAAGTCGAGAGCCTTCAGGCACTTTGCCTTCAGATATTTAATGTTTGGTAAGTCACTGATTATTGTGATTTCAAACATGTAGAAATGACTGCTTTGTGTTGAGATTATGCCATAAACACTCTTTCTGTTTCAGAAAAAATCACACTGTATACATGGAATGCCAGAGGTGGGAGGGAAAAACACCAGTCACTATTGCTAGATAACTCAGTATATGTAAGCTGTTGGCCCCGTCACTTATTGTCAGAAGGACATGCTTCGTGCAGCTTACAAGACGATCGAAGAAAGATGGGCAGAGTGGAAGATGAGGCACATATCCTTCCTAATATGACGTTGGAGTACCACCTCGTGAGGAGACGCTGGAAGCAAATGATGACAGAGGAAACATCGGAAATGGGGGCAGCTAAGTCGGACTGGGTCATACGACAAATTCTGATTGCAGGTGGCGCTCCTATATTACTGCGAATAGGAATAATATGATGATGCACACTTGACTTTCTGAAAATAATCAACATATGACACATTCATTGGATGACTGGATGCGGAAGAATACATAGATTTATTACAGCTTCTGTTTTAAGTCTCCTGAAGTTTGTGACGTGTGCTGCAAATAGACTTTTGTTGCAACTTTGTACTCGCATCTAAAGCCAGTCAATACTCGATTTAGAAATTAATAACCTACGAGCAACGAGAGATTATATGTGTCTTGTGAATAAATTTTGTAAATTCTGAGCCTTAGTAATTATGCTGTACATTACCCGTGGTCTTTTTCAACGATAAGTTTGAAAAATGGAGTTTCCTTATTCCAAATGGAGTTAATTTGTTGTTAAAACGACGCAATCTTCAATTATTAGCGACAATGCGTTCGATCACGTCACGTGGCTGTGGTAATCTTCGAAAATCATGAAAACAATGGTTGTTCCATTGTTTTCATGATTTTCGAAGATTACCACAAAGAAACTCAAAAGAAAGAAAAGAAACTTACCACAATCCCAAAGAAACTCTATTGGTAGCCAATATTGGATCGCATCTAAGCGTGGTTTATTTAGGAGATAAACCTACTGTGTTTGGAAATTTGATGTAGTCCCACTGTAGAAGAGATACCTCTTTAGCGAGGTTCCTAATTATAATAAAGAGGTATCTATTCTACAGTGGGACTACATCAAATTATAAACCTCCAGTGATGCATCACCATTGTTACAACAGGTTGTTCTTTTCTCCGAAAATTCCTCTGCCCACGGGATTCTCGAGCTATGGGCTTTTGACTGAGAACCTTCGAGTGCTACAATTGAAATTTCAGAATTAAAGTTATGTCTTGTAAACAAAAAACATCTTCATATCTGTCGGTTTATGTATAGGATATACGCGGGCTTTTCCTTTGCCGGACTGCATTATTTTCACGGATAGCCCGTGGAGGTGGTTTATATCTTATACATAAACCACGATTCGTTCTTCATTGTTCTTTGCAACTAATCGCGTATCTATCTTATACACGAATATCATAAACTTCACAAAATAATATACTAGCCACATAAAGAAACTGTGCATGGAGAAAATATATTCTGGATTGAAATACAACACAGCAAGAACAAAATGATGCAGACGCTGTAGCAGCTGAATGATCGGACCATAAGAAAATGTCAACGGGACCTGAACAACATCTGTTGCGATGACGTCAGAAGATCAAAATGGAGTAGGGGGTCAAACGACAAAGTCAAAATGTCAATAACGGGTATGACCACCCTGTGCGTGAATCACAACAGTGCATCGGCGACGCATGGACTCCACCATATGGGCATTGGAGGCTTGGGGAATGGCCTGCCATAGCCTCCTCAAATCCTGTGCCAAGTCACGGACGTTATCTGGCGGATGTGGAAGATGACGCAGACGGCGCTCCATTTCATCCCACACATGCTCTATTGGGGAGAGATCTGGGGAATTTGCAGGCCATGGCAGTAACATGACATTGTCATGGTGAAGGAAATCCATTGCGACCCTAGCCGTGTGAGGACGAGCGTTGTCCTGTTGAAATGTCAATCCCAGGCCATGACGTTGCAGGACAGGAATGACCACAGGCCTCAGAATCTGATCTCTGTGGCCAACACCGGTGTGATTGCCCTGAACAACCACCAAAGGGGTTCGGTGCCGTGCTGTTATCCCACCCCAAATCATCACAGAGCCACCTCCAAAACGATTCCTCTCCACAATACAGATGCGTGCATAACGTTCTCCCAAACGCCTGTAGAGACTTTGGCGCCCGTCACTGTGGGAAATGTTGAACCTCGATTCATCTGTAAAGACAACATTTCTCCACCATATTCGAGGTTGGCGAACATGATTTCGACACCATCTTAGACGGTTGTCTCGATGACGGTGTGTCAGGATGGGACGTATGGCAGGGCGTCGTGGTCGAATCCTGTACTGACCTAAACGATTCATGACAGTATTGGGATGGATACGGCGCAGTCCAGGCATTGTCTGGGACGTCGTTACTGCCGTTTGGAACCTGTGTCGGAGATCTGTAACTCGAATCCATCTGTCCTGTCTTGGCGTCGTTACTCGTGGACGTCCTGAACGTGGGTGGTCGGCAACGTCATTTGTGTTCTGATAACGCCTCACCAATACCGATATCGTGTTACGATGACATTGGAAATGTGTTGCCACCTGTTGTTGCCTCATTCCCGCTCGGATCATTCCAATGACTTCATGACGCTGTGCAGCTGTCAATCTTGGCATGATTTGCTTGTGACATGCTTGTGTCTGCGCCTGAGAAGTTTTGAATTTTTGAATGACCACAGATCATGCTTTCCAAAGTGACAGCGAATTTTGATTTGCACAAACTGTGTACAGCTGCACAAGATGCACCTGCAGTAACACATTGCACGTCCATAGGCCCCCCATAAATGACGTCATATCGCATGGCACGTGCATGAGCGTTTGAATGTTTCCAATAATTGCTGTGTTCAAACCTATATTTCATATATGGACGGTGTGCCCTTATATCTATATTTTCTCCGTGCACAGTTTCTTTATATTATGTGGCTAGTATAGATGCCGTCACAGGAGGTTTTTGAGATCACACTACATCCCCTTTTGCTTGATAGTACATGTCTAAGAGATATAACTGTTTTTGTCACTGTGCCCATTAATCATCCCTTGTGACTTCGTGCCACACTTTTGTGCCGAGGACTTGTGTTATCCAGACAAATTATATTGTGACGTATGTCACAAAGTCACGGGTGATACACCAGCAGAAGGTTGTTTTGCACAAACGGTGTCGGGAATCCACGGCGGCTTATGGACAGGATGCGACTCAGAAGTAGGTCAGTCGTACTGAAGTCCTCTGTGACCTTAGCACCCATGTCGGTTGTACGTGAATATCTCGATTGTTACAGTTTGTTTTCTTTGTGATCATCTGGATGGTCCTGTGTGCAGGTGGATTGCTAGATTATCATCTGGGTTGTTACAAGTGCACATCAATTGCTAGATCATCATCTAGATTGCTACACGTGCACGTGGATTGCTAGATGATAATGTGTAAAGGTTTCATACGCAGATGAGTTGCTAGATGATGATATGGATTGTTTCATGTGCATGTGGATTGCTAGGTGATCATCTGTATTGTTCCAAGTACACGCCGGTTTCTATTTGATCACTTGGATCGTTACATGTACACGTGGGTTGCTAGATGCTCATCTGGATTGCTAAATATGCACGTAGATTGATGTACGTCATCTGGATTGGTACAAGTGCACATGGATTGCTAAACGATAATCTTTTACTATTACAAGTACACATGGATTGCTTGATGATCATTTGGCTTGTGTACAAGGATTGCTTGATATATATTATAGATTGCTACATATGACCATATATTGCCAGATGACCATCCTGATTGTTACATGGACACGTGGACTGCAATCAGTGCAGGTAGACTGTTACGTGTTAATGTCGCCCTAACGTTTAGTGTGCATTGTATTTGTAACCATAGCGTCAGAAACAGTTGATACAATCGTATGTCCACTCGGGCAAATATCACTTCATGCGAGCCAGTGTTTAGTTTACGTCATCCACACGTCATTGTTGACGTCATTCGAAACTTTTTGTGACGCAAGTTCGGAATGGCGTCACACGAATGAATTCATCGCTGAAGATTGCTAACGTTATTCCAAAATTTTGGTTTTCTAAGACTGCGGTCGTGATCGGTGGGTTTTCCTTAAGGGGAGCTCAAAGGGATTAAAAACGGATTTTATGAAGCTTGCAACCGTGTATGCAGTCACGAATTACCCTCGCTCTTGCTCGGGAACTACAAGGATTCTGACACTCAAGTACACTTAATATAATCAGTATGCCACACACACTCTTGTAATAACCTATATACGTCCATTTGGATTCTTGTGTGTAAGGATTATTACATCTGCACATGGATTGTTGGTTGTTAAGTATGTATGTGGATTGCGATGTTTGCCAAAGGACTGTTATGTTTGAGGTGGGTTGCAATGCGTGTAATTGCTGGCTTGCTGTGATATACATATAACATCAGTGGTGTTAAACTAGAGTCACTCACTCAGTCAACCGGTCTTTCTAAATGGACCATAATGCTATCACGGGGGACCCTCTCGTCTAAAGGCGTCGCAAGTAGCTGCGTAGCAGTGCGTCTATTAGATATGCAAGAACCCTATGAATTTGAATCCTGTTTCACGCTAATCATTTCTAGGTTTGTCAGCTCCATACCAGTGATTGTGTTTAACGTCTAAGAACTACGTCAGTGCGAATCTTTTTCATCCACCGCGTCGTTATTTAACTGATATAATATCAAGTGGCGTTGAAGCCAACTCACTCACTCTACCCCAAGTACTCGAATGTCATCCCTGCAGACAGCTACACTGGCAGCCACAGTAAGAAAAATCTTCAGATCCGAAGAGTGTTGTTAACGCCGGACATGTAATGGAACACTTCTTCTTGCGGATAATATCAGCGAGACTGGCACCTTATCATTATTCGTTTGTTACTGGCCCGTTACAACTGTTTAACATGATCAGACTGCATTGTTTCATACTCTAAGGGCCATGTAGGGCGCCCAGGAAAATGACACTATCGCACGTTGTATCTATGTCACAGCTGCAATCCATACTGAACGCGACAACTATTAATCTGATCACATATAGTTTCCTTGACTGCCTCTTAAATGAAGTATTTATCTACGCCATTGATGATGCGTATTTGTTTCCTGGTTGTATATGTAATTCACAAAAGCATACAATAAGCATCGACATCACTATTCAACCAAGCGACATTACAGATCTAATGTATACTCTCTTTACCTAAATATTTCTGGAAACTGAAAAGCCTTTTGATCATTGTTCTTGAAAATTGTTCAGTGCGTTAAAAACACACGACTCGCACACCGCAATCACGAGACAGCCACTACAGGTGATGTGGGGTCAACCCAGATTCAGTCAACCCAAGGACCGCCTCCGTGGTCTAGTGGTAGAGCGTCCGCACGGAGAGCGGAAGGTCCGGGGTTCGATCCCCGACCGCGTCATACCAAAAGACGATAAAAGTACTTATTGTTACCCTGTCTGGTGCTCGGCATTAAGGGGCTTAACAAGGACTGGTCGGCTCGGAGTCAGTATACTGTGTCTGAGTGGGGTATTCATGTTAAACTGCGGCATGGTATCTCAGTGAGCTAGCGCTATAAATCGGCATCAGTCCGGACTAGTACAAGCAGC